CACAGAGACCCATAGACTCACACAGAGACCAATAGACTCACACAGAGACCCACAGACTCACACAGAGACCCCTAGACTCACACAGAGACCCATAGACTCACACAGAGACCCACAGACTCACACAGAGACCCATAGACTCACACAGAGACCCATAGACTCACACAGAGACCATAGACTCACACAGAGACCCATAGACTCACACTGAGACCCATAGACTCACACAGAGACCCATAGACTCACACAGAGACCCATAGACTCACACAGAGACCCACAGACTCACACAGAGACCCACAGACTCACACAGAGACCCACAGACTCACACAGAGACCCACAGACTCACACAGAGACACATAGACTCACACAGAGACCCATAGACTCACACAGAGACCCATATACTCCCACAGAGACCCACAGACTCACACAGAGACCCACAGACTCACACAGAGACCCACCATAGACTCACACAGAGACCCACAGACTCACAACCTCTCTCCATCTGCCGGCCCGGGCTCTCAGACCCCCCCCCCCACGTCCCCAGCCCCCGCTGTGTGCACGTGCGCGTGGAACTCCGGGAGGTTGCATTCAACACAAAGGCAAAGCTCCCCCCTAGCACACCACACACATCTCACACACATACATCTCACACACATCTCACACACATACATCTCACACACACACACCCATCTCACACACACACACCACACACATCCATCACACACCCAACTCACACACACCCACTTCACACACACATCCATCTCACACACATCACACACACACACCCATCACACACCCACTTCACACACACATCTATCACACACACACATCTCACACACACACATCTCACACACACCCATCACACACACACACATCTCACACACACCCATCACACACACACATCTCACACACCCCCATCACACACCCATCACACACACACATCTCACACACACACACACATCTCACACACACCCATCACACACACACACATCTCACACCCCCCCATCACACACCCATCACACACACCCATCTCACACACATCTCACACACACCCATCACACACTCATCTCACACACACCCATCTCACACACACATCTCACACACACCCATCACACACACCCATCACACACACACACATCACACACACACATCTCACACACACCCATCACACACACACATCACACACCCATCTCACACACACACACATCTCACACACACCCATCACACACACCCATCACACACACACATCTCACACACACACATCACACACACACATCTCACACACATCACACATCTCACACACACACATCACACACACACATCTCACACACACACCTCACACATGCCACACAATTACACACACACATCTCATCCTAAAACACACACACATTCACTCTGTCAATATTTATAGTTTAAACAGGCACCCATCACTCCCAGCCATCACCGATCACACGCTCACATCACTCATCACACGCTCCCATCACCCATCACCCACCACTTACATCACCCATCACACGCTCCCATCACTCATCAGACGCATCCATCACTCATCACACGCTCCCATCACTCCCAGCCATCACCCATCACACGCTCCCATCACCCATCACCCACCACTTACATCACCCATCACACGCTCCCATCACCCATCACACCCTCCCATCACCCACCACCCACCACTTACATCACCCATCACACCCTCCCATCACCCATCACCCACCACTTACATCACCCATCACACGCTCCCATCACCCATCACACCCTCCCATCACCCACCACTTACATAACCCATCACACGCTCCCATCACTCCCATCACCCCATCACACGCACCCATCACCCATCACACCCTCCCATCACCCACCACTTACATCACCCATCACACGCTCCCATCACCCACCACTTACATCACCCATCACACGCTCCCATCACCCATCACACCCTCTCATCACCCACCACTTACATCACCCATCACACCCTCCCATCACCCACCACTTACATCACCCATCACACGCTCCCATCACCCACCACTTACATCACCCATCACACGCTCCCATCACCCATCACACGCTCTCATCACCCACCACTCCCATCACCCATCACACGCTCCCATCACCCATCACTGCAGTTGCTAAGCCCGCAAGGACCACAAATCGCCAAGCGTGCGAGCAACACGCAACACGATCGATTGCGTTGCGCGAGATTCTCCGCATCACCATTATTATTATTTATTATTATTATGACGATACGAGCTTGACAATGTTGGGGCCGGCCAGCAACAAGCAGCACTGACTCAATGGGAGTCGTCAATAATATGAAGACGCACGCGAGCTGCGCTTTCTTCTCTCACCTGCTTCGCCTTCCTCTTTGTCTCCCCCTTGTCTCCCGCTTGTCTCCACGCGTGTCTCCACGCGTGTCTCCCGCGTGTCTCCCGCTTGTCTCCACGCGCGCCTTTGTCTCTCCTCCGCCGTCTGCGGCTGAGTTCTTGTCGGGGAGGCGGGGCTGATGCTGTGATGGGGGCGGGGCTAGCGGTCGAGGAGGAGGGGGCGGGGTCAACGAGGACGGCCCGCCCGACCGCCCCACGTGACTCTGGCGCGCGAGCTCCTCGCTTGCCCACCCCCTCACCCCCATTGGCTGGCACCGCTCTCCTCACCGCTCGCGCGCTCATGAATATGCAAATTACAGGAGGCGTGGGGGGCAAAACTAAGATAAAGATCCCCCGTGTAGCCTTAACAGACTGTAGGGGCAAGTGCTGTTAGCGAGCAGCACCTGTGAAGGCCGGCACGGCGTCATCTGGTCGAGCACCAATTGGGTCGAGGCTCAAAAGAAAGCCGTCCCTTGGTGTGGACCAATCAGTTTCAAGGACAATGCATATATTATCATAGTATGTGTTTTGTTTGTATTTTGACTGCAGGTATGAATCCTTGTAAAAAGATTTCAGTTTTGTTGCCAGAAAAAAAAGGGGAAAACCCCTATTATGTTTTGGTACTGGCAAAGGATGTCTAATGAATAAGTAGACCGTGTTTATATTTATTTAAAGTTGCGCATTTTGATGTGACGTCACATTTCTCAAACACCCCCCCACCCTCGTCACACATCGTCACAAATGTCTGACCCCCCTCCCTAGGTGCGTGACGTCATTTATGGACGGCCCCAAAGGCCGCTGAGGTATAAACTGATTTATCAGAAGTGACCTCCACCAATGATAGCTCAACAAAGTGGCCCTACATTGGGACATTTACAGCAGCAAATGAATCTACATCATCTCCATGCATGATTCTAAATGTGGAGGGAAAATCCAGAGGACACCGCAAATTCCAAATACGCAGCAGCAGCAGGCATCGTCAGGGTCGGGATCAAACTCCCGAACCTCCTGTATAGCAGGCGAGGAAGATAACATCTCACCAGATTGTAACAAAGTAGGCACTGGTAATGGGTTGACAGGTACGGTATGAATTGGTGACGACAACATGCACACCAGTCGAACTGCGAAATATTTTGTTCAAAGACAAAAAATAACAATGGCGCCTCTTCTTCTTTGGAGGGGTTTCCGACTCCTGCTCTATGCTTATATGTCGCTGCAAGAACATTACCAGGATAACTGGGCAGGCAAGTTACCTCGTTAGCTGCAGTAGCTGTCCCTCCACATAAAACAAAATATATACACAAACACATTCCCACTTAGCCACACAGCCTTCTGAGAGGTGATATTTCACCAGCATTGGTTCCAACACCATTTGGGGTCTCATCAGCAGTTGGGCTTCTTTGAACCAATGTCGGTTTAACCATCTCGAACAACGTATCCAACAGAGAGGGGGTACTCCTTGGCTACAGACATTCGGCAGGTCAACAGTATTGCTTGAAGCGAGCCTTCACTGCTGATGGTAGCGGTAGCAAGAGTGTCAAGGAGGCGAATGACCAGCCGGTATGTGAGCTAGCGAGCGCTTGGTGGAGTCAGGACGCTACGGTGGCGAGGAAATGTTGACGGTGGCTAGGAAATGTGTTGCATAGCTCAAGGAATGATTCCGTGAGTTGCATGGGCACGGCACAGCTGGCAAAGAAAGCTGTTGTTGTTCAGCCGTCGGTGGTTGATGATGTGATCACCAACATCGAGCACATCGCTGTGGGGCTATATCTTGCCATCTTGCTAACGAATTGTGAAGAGGAGCATTCTGTTTAGAAGTTAAAACTGAAAAAGAAAAAAAATATCCGATGAACCATAGGACAGCAACAACAACGCCGCCTTCCCTCGCACTACTCTCGATTGAGAATGAGATTGTGCCAAAATCACCATTTGAAGATTTTCTTTGCTAATTTTGCAATGAAAATTTTTCAAAAAGTTCATCTCCGGTGTTATAAATTCTCTCACCTTATGAAAAAACTGATTTACATTGACAAGACTCTGCCTCTTTGTAGATACACCGTGCTATATAGACATATTGAAGAAGATATCTTGGCTCCATTCTTTGTTTTATCTTAAATGCAAACAAAAACACGGTCACATTTTTCATTATACAAGAAATAACACGGTCACATTTTTTTTGGTAGGCCCTTTAGTTATCGTCGGCCCTAGGCACAGCTCCTACTGTGGCCTATTGGATAATACGGCCCTGGTGGGTGGGTGAATGAGTTAGTGGGTGAATGAGTGGGTGAATGAGTGGGTGGGTGGGTGACTGAGTGGGTGGATGAGTGGATGAATGGATGGTTGAATGAGTGGGTGGCTGAGTGAGTGGATGGGTGTGACGAGTGGAGGAGTGGATGGAGGCAGCTATGGGCGTGATGGGATTGAGTATTTATGTAGTGAATCACTTCTGAGACACAAATAGTAGGAGGCAACACGCGTGTATTCTACACCTTTGGACACTGCTCACACACGGGATAACTATAAACGGGTCAGAACAGCCAGCACTCTGTCTGACCCACGATGCCAGAGACCTTGGGTTCCATTCCACCGACAGACAGCCCCTATCCAGCCTCGGGACCTCCCTTTTATGCCCCTCGGCGTGGCCTGGCTCCGCCGTCGGCCACGCCCCCATCTGGAACCTACCAGAAGGTTCTGGGCCACATTGCACGTGTCCCCAGCCTGGCTCTGCCCTTGGCCACACCCCCTTCTGGAACCTACCAGAAGGTTCTGGGCCACCTTGCACGTGTCCCCTGCCTAGCTCCGCCCTTGGCCACACCCCCTTCTGGAACCCACCAGAAGGTTCTGGGCTATACCTCACGTGTCCCCTCGGTCACCTTTGGCCCCACATCCTTTACCCCGGCCTATCACGTACTCCACCAGCCGGCCGGGGTGCCACATCCTCATGTCCCCTTGTGCCAGCAGCCAGCGCCACGCGCCCCAGCGAGCCACTCCGTGGCATTGCTCTGCCGGCAGAGCGGCTGCCACGAGCCGCTCTGCCGGCAGGTCGTCCGTTACGGCCACGTCCCTCTCTCTGTCAGTAACCACGCGCCATAGTGACCCATTCTGTGTCACTGCATCCATACTGCAGTGGTTCTCCACTGGTGGGGTACGCGGTTCCCCTGTGGGTGCAGTATGTGACAATGTGTCCCAGAGTGGTATGTGAGGTGATTTATAAATGTGTGGGATTATATATGAGTCGTTACATACTACACTAAACGACTATTTTATCAGGCTTTATTCCACCAGATTTTTTTTATTGACACCCATCTCACACACACACACAACAACAACCACCATTCACCACTAAGTGGCGGTGACGGCACCACGACGCTTGTGCTAGGCCATGTGCACCTTGAGGCCACGTGAAGTGTCGAACGCCCGCGGGCAGGAGGTCACGGGGCAGACCCAGGTGCCACGGGTCGACTGACTGAGATGACTGGCTGGTGCACCACCTGTGCCTCCTACTGTGCCAACCTGCTGTGCTTTAGCCACCCGGCGCTCCGGTCGTTGTTGTGTCGCTCCTCCGCCCTCCGTTGTTGTTGGAGGGCGACTGCCTCCAACTGCCCAATAGCGTCCTTCACGAGCCTCCTCCAGAGGCCGATCTTGACACTGCTGATACCAGTCATCGGCAAGTCCACTCAGCTCCACGTCCTCCTGTACCACATCACTCCATCTCTGCTCTAGCCCGTGCTGCGCCCATTTAGGATGGGACAGACACACACATGCAGATCCAATCCCCGAAAGAATGTAAATCCACAACAAGTCACAGCTAAAGAATACTCAGAGTGATTCCGTGTCGTTTTTTACAATCGCGTCTTTAAAAATCACCTATTTTGTACTGCAGGATTTTCCCTAATAATATAATTTGTTTTGTTTGGTTTATAATGCGTAAATAGAAATGTTGTGTCGTGAAACCTGCCACCACCATCCGACGCAGTCAATCAGCCAATCAGGTTTGTGACGTAAACGAAACGTGGCCAGTTAGTTACTGATAACGGCACAATTATAACATTCTATGGGCAATGTAAGTCTATGTGCAATGTTAGTTGACGGTGACTCTTGTTTTAACTAATATATAGGCAGACAATTCTGGCTGTCGCCTGATGATGCTGGCGAATTACTGGCGAAACGTCGCAGTACTCGAATTGTAAATGTTGTGGTGGGTTTACTCTCCAACACACAACTGGTTAGTACTGAACTAGTATAACACTACACTATACACTACACTGCACACGACTATACGCTACACTATAATTGTAAATGTTATGGTTGGTTTCCTCTCCAATACACAACCGGTTAGTGCTGAGATAGTATACTACACTATACACTACACTACAATTGTAAATGTTGTGGTGGGTTTACCCTCCAACACACAAATGGTTAGTGCTGAACTGGTAACGAATTGGCCACTGATTGGCTGTGTCGAGAGGTTGCGGGTTTAACAACACATTTATAATTGTGCGATCTAACCCAAACAAACTTCCATTATGGAAAGAATATAAAGACACGCAAATCACTGCAAAATATACGCACAGTGAGTCTGTTGCTTTTTAAATCGCGTCTTAAAACTCACCTATTTGCACTGCACGTTTTCCCTGTAACTTAAGATAAAAAAAAATGTTGTCCGATTGGATTACCCTTCAATTGTTACTCTGTGGTTCTTTCGGTTATCAGGCGGGACAACCACAGCAAGAAACAATTGCTGAAGTAAGCCTACTTCAGCAAGTAGGCCTACTTCAGCAATTATAACAATTGCCGAAGTAGGCCTACTTGCTGAAGTAGGCCTGCTGTGGTTGTCCCGCCTGATGACGGACACTTGTGTTGCGTCCGAAACGTCGTGATTTAATTTATTTTATACTTTATTCGCTTTCATCATCGTGCTTAATTTTATTGGAATTTCCGGAGTAGTAGTCATTGATATCGCTGCTATTATTGGCTTTCTATTTCACTTAGATTTCATCTGCATGTGTGAGTGTAGCGTTATTTTCACGTTACAGGGCTTTGAGATACGCTAAGTCCACCGGTTATCGGTGACATGTCGGGTTCATGGTTTTTGCAGCTATCGTTTCGCCTCCCATAGAGGAACCCCGCTCCATGAGTTTTGAACTCACAACGCCACGAATGTCGATGTCACGTGGTAACGCGTGTTACATCATGTGGTTACGTGTTACATCACGTGGTTACGTGCTACGTCACGTGGCAACGCGTGTCACGTCACCTGGTAACGCGTGTTACGTCACGTGGTAACGCGTGTTACGTCACCTGGTAACGTGTTACATCATGTGGTTACGGGTTACATCACGTGGTTACGTGTTACGTCACGTGGCAACGTGTGTTACGTCACGTGGTACGGCGTGTTACGTCACGTGGTAACGCGTGTTACGTCACGCGGCAACGCGTGTTACGTCACCTGGTAGCGCGTGTTACGTCACGTGGTAACGCGTGTTACGTCACGTGGTAACGCGTGTTACGTCACCTGGTAACGCGTTACGTCACGTTGTAACGCGTGTTACGTCACGTGGTAACGCGTGTTACGTCACGTGGTAACGCGTTGTCACGTGGTAACGCGTGTTACGTCACCTGGTAACGTGTTACGTCACGTGGTACCGCGTGTTACGTCACGTGGTTACGCGTTACGTCACGTGGTTGCGCGTCACGTCACGTGGTAACGCGTGTTACGTCACCTGGCAACGCGTGTTACGTCACCTGGCAACGCGTGTTACGTCACGTGGTAACGCGTGTTACGTCACGTGGTAACGCGTGTTACGTCACGTGGTAACGTGTTATGTCACGTGGTAACGCGTGTTACGTCACGTGGTAACGCGTGTTACGTCACGTGGTAACGCGTGTTACGTCACCTGGCAACGCGTGTTACGTCACCTGGTAACGCGTGTTACGTCACGTGGTAACGCGTGTTACGTCACGTGGTAACGCGTGTTACGTCACGTGGTAACGTGCGATGTCACGTGGTAACGCGTGTTACATCATGTGGTTACGTGTTACATCACGTGGTTACGTGCTACGTCACGTGGCAACGCGTGTCACGTCACCTGGTAACGCGTGTTACGTCACGTGGTAACGCGTGTTACGTCACCTGGTAACGTGTTACATCATGTGGTTACGGGTTACATCACGTGGTTACGTGTTACGTCACGTGGCAACGTGTGTTACGTCACGTGGTACGGCGTGTTACGTCACGTGGTAACGCGTGTTACGTCACGCGGCAACGCGTGTTACGTCACCTGGTAGCGCGTGTTACGTCACGTGGTAACGCGTGTTACGTCACGTGGTAACGCGTGTTACGTCACGTGGTAACGCGTTACGTCACGTTGTAACGCGTGTTACGTCACGTGGTAACGCGTGTTACGTCACGTGGTAACGCGTTGTCACGTGGTAACGCGTGTTACGTCACGTGGTAACGTGTTACGTCACGTGGTCCCGCGTGTTACGTCACGTGGTAACGCGTTACGTCACGTGGTTACGCGTTACGTCACGTGGTTGCGCGTCACGTCACGTGGTAACGCGTGTTACGTCACCTGGCAACGCGTGTTACGTCACCTGGTAACGCGTGTTACGTCACGTGGTAACGTGTTACGTCACGTGGTAACGTGTTACGTCACGTGGTAACGTGTTACGTCACGTGGTAACGCGTGTTACGTCACGTGGTAATGCGTGTTACGTCACCTGGCAACGCGTGTTACGTCACCTGGCAACGCGTGTTACGTCACGTGGTAACGCGTGTTACGTCACGTGGTAACGCGTGTTACGTCACGTGGTAACGTGTTATGTCACGTGGTAACGCGTGTTACGTCACGTGGTAATGCGTGTTACGTCACCTGGCAACGCGTGTTACGTCACCTGGCAACGCGTGTTACGTCACGTGGTAACGCGTGTTACGTCACGTGGTAACGCGTGTTACGTCACGTGGTAACGCGTGTTACGTCACGTGGTAACGCGTGTTACGTTACCTGCGCACGCGGTCGGCGCCAATTTGGGCCAATCGGAGCGTTGGTTAAGTGGGGCCGAGCGCATCGCCCTCGGCCAATCGGCGACGCCCGTTTGTTAGCGAGTGCGCGTTTACACCTCAAATGGCTTCGTTTCACATTCTACCTTTCATGTTTTTTGGCAGTGGGGAAAAAAAAAAAATCCTCACTCTCTCTTCTTGCAGTTTTTCAACTAACCAAGTGACTGCAATGACCCTCCCCCTACTCCGCCCTTCCGAATTTTAATTTGTAAAAAAAAATGATAAAGAAGTAAAGTCATTAGCCCTACAACCAAATCAGGGAATTATTGATTAGCATGAATACAGGATGGCAATAAACTACCAGTGCACTTATAAGCAAAGTTTGGATTCTAACAGTTTAATATTCAATCCCTATATTCGATTCACGGTGTTTCGGCTTAAAACAGTTAAAGGGGCCACTGTACTTCAAAAAGAAAGTCGCTTTTTAAAATAGAGACTATTATCATTACTCTTTGGTTCTTTCGGTAAAGTGACGAGGTATCAAATAAAATAAATCACGACGTTTCGGGCGCAACACAAGCATCCATAGTCAGGTGGGAAAGCGCGGTCTGCTGCTGAGGCAGACTTTACCACCTACGTGATCACTTTACCGAAAGAACCAAAGAGTATGGATTCCTGCAGTCACGAAAGCTTCAAATCACTATCATTATCATCATCATAATTATTATTATTATTGTGTTGAGTGTGCAGGGAGCGGTGGCGTAGAGGCTGGGGCACTGCGCAATGGAAACCTGGCGACCCCGGATCACCGACATCGGCGATACCTGAACAACGACCTCCACTCCCTCCCTCCAACCTGCACTGACCAGAGTGGTGAAGTATGGCTAAACCAACCCCCCGCCATGCGGCCGACACGGCGCTGTGAGGCCTTCATCATCGAGTGACGCGAAAACGGCCATCAAGAAAAACGCACCAGGGGTGATCACAGAGCCAATATTAAAACATTATTATCATTCCGCTTGTGTGTGTGTGACATAGGGGTGTAAACATGTGTGTGTGTGTCTTATCGGTGTGTGTCTGATGGGTGCGTGTGTGAGATGGTGTGAGTGTGATGGGTGCGTGTGTGAGATGGTGTGTGAGATGGGTGTGTGTGTGAGATGGTGTGTGTGAGATGGGTGTGTAGGTGTGATATGTGTGAGTGATGTGTCTGTGAGTAAGGGATGTGTGAGTGATGGGTGTGTATGAGATGTGTGTGTAGGTGTGATGTGTGTGTGCAAGATGGCGGTGTGTGTGAGATGGGTGTGTGTGAGATGGGTGTGTGTGATGGGTGTGTGTGAGATGGGTTTGTAGGTGTGATGTGTGTGTGCGAGATGGGTGTGTGTGAGTGATGGGTGTGTATGAGATGTGTGTGTGTGTGTGACATGGGTGTGTGTTTGTAACATGTGTGTGAGTGATGGGTGTCTGTGACATGGGTGTGTATGAGATGGGGGTGTGTGTGTGTGAGTGATGGGTGTGTGTGTGGGAGATGGGTGTGTGAGATGTGTGTGTGTGAGTTTTTGCAGTAGGGGACAAAGTTGCTATGATGTGTGATCCCGATCGAGTGATTTGCAATAAAAAAACTTTAGGATTTAACTTGGCCACTGTGCGGCGTGGGGGTTTAGCTATGGGAGGAGGAAACCCCACGCAGAACAGGAGGAGAACACACGACCTCCAGAACCCCGGCTCTTGTCACTGCGGACCACAGCAACTGTCCCCACTGTGGTGCATTCAGGGCTCCGTCTCTTTCTGTTCTGCCTCCAACTTCTTCACCTGCAACAGACAGACCATGCTCAATGGCTTTGTCACTCATGTTCAAGGGCGCTGTGTACGTACTGTGAACTTCTTTCGCACCGTACGTAGTCAACCGTGATATGTGTGTATGTGAAATCCTTTCCCACCATACGTTGCCAACCGGGCTATGTGTGTATGATAAACTTCTTTTGCACAGTACGTGGACAACTATGCTAACCGGAAGTGCGGACGAAGGACAACAAACTACGTGTGTGTGTGAGTCTATGGGTATCCGTGTGAGTCTATGGGTCTCTGTGTGAGTCTATGTGTCTCAGAGACACATAGATTCACACAGACACTCAGACTCACACACACACATAGACTCACATAGAGACCCATAGACTCACACAGAGACCGATAGACTCACACAGAGACCGATAGACTCACACAGAGACCGATAGACTCACACAGATACCCATAGACTCACACAGAAACCCATAGACTCACACACACACATAGACTCACACACACACATAGATTCACACAGAGACACATAGACTCACAGAGTGTGAATCTATGTGTGTATGTGAGTCTATGTGTGTGTGTGAGTCTATGGGTCTCTGTGTGAGTCTATGGGTCTGTGTGTGAGTCTATGTGTGTGTGTGTGAGTCTATGTGTCTCTGTGTGAGTCTATGGGTCTCTGTGTGAGTCTATGGGTCTCTGTGTGAGTCTGTGTGTGTGTGAGTCTATGAGTCTCTGTGTGAGTCTATGGGTCTCCGTGTGAGTCTATGGGTCTCCGTGTGAGTCTATGGGTCTCTGTGTGAGTCTATGGGTCTCTGTGTGAGTCTATGGGTCAGTGTGAGTGTTTATGTGTCTCTGTGTGAGTGTATATGCGTCTGTGTGAGTGTCTATGGGTCCCTCTATGTCTATGGGTCTCTGTGTGAGGCTATAGGTCTCTGTGTGAGTCTATGAGTCTCTGTGTGAGTCTACTGTTCTCTGTGTGATTCTATGAGTCTCTGTGCGAGTCTATGGGTCTCTGTGTGAGTCTATGGGTCTCTGTGTGATTCTATGGGTCTCTGTGGGAGTCTATGGGTCTCTGTGTGAATTTATGGGTCTCTGTGGGAGTCTATGAGTCTCTGTGTCAGTTTCTGTGTCTCTGTGTGAGTCTACGGGTCCCTGTGAGGGTCTATGGGTCTCTGTGTGAGTCCACGAGTCTCTGTGCGAGTCTATGGTTCTCTGTGTGAGTCTCTGTGTCTCTGTGTAAGTATGTAGCTAACCACACTAATAGTAACCTCCAGCGACACTTGCGCAGCCGGAAGCACCTGGCTTCAATGCCCAACTTGGGTGCTTTCTGCGTGAAGTTTGTTATCATCGTCCCCTTGTTATCTCGTCAGTGTGAAAGGGAGTGTGCATCACTCAAACTCCGGTCATCCTCGCAGCAGCGGCTTTTGCCTGGTCATTGAACAAAGATCGCTTTCGGATGCACTTCTGCGACCGTCTGGAATGCTCTTCCCTTCTGATATTAGAAAGCCACTGGGAGCTGTGCACTTTTAAATCATCGTCGAGATTGACAAACTCGTTTCTTTAAAACTGCTTTTCATGTTTAGTTTGATGTCCTTCCCCCACACGCTCCGATTATCACGGTTGGCTATGTACGGCACCAAAGAAGTTAAATGTACATATATACGTATATTCTCCCCCTGTTCTGCGGGATTCCTCCTCCTGTAGCTAAACCCCCAATTGTGAAAATTACCTGCAAATTATTCATTTGGGATCACCAATACCAATACCCGCTGTTTGCGAGAAAGTGACGGTGACGTCACCACTAGGCCTGTGCCAGACGAGGTGCACTGTGAGGTCACGTGAAGTGCCTAAGGCTCGCAGGAAGGAGGTCACGGGACAGACCCAGCAGGTGCCGTGGGTTAGCTGACTCAGATTTACTGGCAGATGCACCACCAGCTGTGATCCCCTCCTGTGACAACTTGGGATCACGCACAGGAGCAGCAGCAGGAGCAGCAGCAGTGGGAGCAGCAGTAGTAGTAGCAGTAGCAGCAGTAGTAGCAGTAGTAGCAGCAGTAGCAGCAGTAGTAGTAGCGGTAGAAATGGTAACAGTAGCGGCAGTAGTAGTAGCAGCAGTAGCAGTAGCGGTTGTAGTGGTAGTAGTAGTAGCGGTAGCAGTAGTAGCAGTAGCTGTAGGTGCGGTAGCAGTAGTAGTAATGGTAGCAGTAGTAGCGGTAGTAGCAGTAGGAGTGGTAGTAGGGGTAGTAGTAGTAGCAGTAGTAGCGGTAGTAGCGGTAGCGATAGTAGCAGCAGTAAGAGTGGTAGAAGCGGTAGCAGTAGCAGTAGTAGAAGTAGTAGTGGTAGCAGTAGTAGTGGTAGCAGTAGTGGCAGTCGTAGTGGTAGTAGCGGTAGTAGCATTAGTAGCGGTAGCGATAGTAGCAGTAGTAGCAGTAGGCGTGGTAGTAGGGGTAGTAGCATTAGTAGCGGTAGCGATAGTAGCAGTTGTAGCAGTAGTAGTGGTAGCAGTAGTAGTGGTAGTAGCATTAGTAGCGGTAGCGATAGTAGCAGTAGTAGCAGTAGGAGTGGTAGTAGGGGTAGTAGTAGTAGCGGTAGTAGCGGTAGCGATAGTAACAGTAGTGGCAGTAGGAGTGGTAGTAGGGGTAGCGATAGTAGCAGTAGGAGTAGCGGTAGCGATAGTAGCAGTAGGAGTGGTAGTAGCGATAGTAGCAGTAGTAGCAGTAGGAGTGGTAGTAGGGGTAGCAGGGGTAGTAGGGGTAGTAGTAGTAGCGATAGTAGCAGTAGGAGTGGTAGTAGGGGTAGTAGTAGTAGCGATAGTAGCAGTAGGAGTGGTAGTAGGGGTAGTAGTAGTAGGGGTAGTAGGGGTAGGAGCAGTAGGAGTGGTAGTAGCAATAGTAACACTAGTAGCAGTAGGAGTGGTAGTAGGGGTAGCGATAGTAGCGATAGTAGCGATAGTAGCAAGTAGTAGCAGTAGGAGTGGTAGTAGCGATAGTAACAGTAGAAGCAGTAGGAGTGGTAGTAGGGGTAGCGATAGTAGCGATAGCAGCAGTAGTAGCAGTAGGAGAGGTAGTAGCGATAGTAACAGTAGTAGCAGTAGGAGTGGTAGTAGGGGTAGCGATAGTAGCAGTAGGAGTGGTAGTAGTGGTAGTAGGGGTAGTAGGGGTAGCAGGAGTAGTAGTAGTAACGATAGTAGCAGTAGGAGTGGTAGTAGGGGTAGTAGGGGTAGTAGTAGTAATGATAGTAGCAGTAGGAGTGGTAGTAGTGGTAGTAGTGGTGGTAGGGGTAGCGATAGTGGCAGTAGGAGTGGTAGTAGTGGTAGTAAGGGTAGTAGTAGTAGCGATAGTAGCAGTAGGAGTGGTAGTAAGGCTAGTAGTAGTAGCGATAGTAGCAGTAGGAGTGGTAGTAGTGGTAGTAAGGGTAGTAGTAGTAGCGATAGTAGCAGTAGGAGTGGTAGTAGTGGTAGTAGTGGTGGTAGGGGTAGCGATAGTGGCAGTAGGAGTGGTAGTAGTGGTAGTAAGGGTAGTAGTAGTAGCGATAGTAGCAGTAGGAGTGGTAGTAAGGCTAGTAGTAGTAGCGATAGTAGCAGTAGGAGTGGTAGTAGTGGTAGTAAGGGTAGTAGTAGTAGCGATAGTAGCAGTAGGAGTGGTAGTAGGGGTAGTAGTAGTAGCGATAGTAGCAGTTGGAGTGGTAGTAGTGGTAGTAGGGGTAGTAGTAGCGATAGTAGCAGTAGGAGTGGTAGTAGGGGTAGTAGGGGTAGTGATAGTAGCAGTTGGAGTGGTAGTAGGGGTAGTAGTAGTAGCGATAGTAGCAGTAGGAGTGGTAGTAGGGGTAGTAGTAGTAGCGATAGCAGCAGTAGGAGTGGTAGTAGTGGTAGTAGGCGTAGTAGGGGTAGTAGTAGTAGTGATAGTAGCAGTAGGAGAGGTAGCAGGGGTAGTAGTAGTAGCGATAGTAGCAGTGGTAGTAGGGGTAGTAGTAGTAGGGGTAGTAGGGGTAGGAGTGGTAGTAGGGGTAGTAGTAGCGATAGTAGCAGTAGGATTGGTAGTAGGGGTAGTAGTAGTAGCGATAGTAGCAGTAGGAGTGGTAGTAGGGGTAGTAGTAGTAGCGATAGTAAGCAGTAGGAGTGGTAGTAGGGGTAGTAGCGGTAGTAGTAGTAGCGATAGTAGCAGTAGGAGTGGTAGTAGGGGTAGTAGTGGTAGTAGGGGTAGTAGGGGTAGTAGTAGCGATAGTAGTAGGAGTGGTAGTAGGGGTAGTAGTAGTAGGGGTAGTAGGGGTAGGAGTGGTAGTAGGGGTAGTAGTAGTAGGGGTAGTAGCAGTAGGAGTGGTAGTAGGGGTAGTAGGGGTAGTAGTAGGAGTGGTAGTAGGGGTAGTAGTAGTAGGAGTGGTAGTAGGGGTAGTAGGGGTAGTAGTAGTAGTGGTAGTAGGGGTAGTAGTAGCGATAGTAGCAGTAGTAGGGTAGTAGGGGTAGTAGTAGTAGCGATAGTAGCAGTAGGAGTGGTAGTAGGGGTAGTAGTAGTAGCGATAGTATCAGTAGGAGTGGTAGTAGAGGTAGTAGGGGTAGTAGTAGTAGTGATAGTAGCAGTAGGAGTGGTAGTAGGGGTAGTAGTAGTAGTGATAGTAGCAGTAGGAGTGGTAGTAAGGGTAGTAGTAGTAGCAATAGTAGCAGTAGGAGTGGTAGTATGGGGGTAGTAGGGGTAGTAGCAGTAGGAGTGGTAGTAGGGGTAGTAGTAGCAATAGTAGCAGTAGGAGTGGTAGTCGGGGGGTAGTAGGGGTAAGTAGCAGTAGGAGTGGTAGTAGGGGTAGTAGTGTTAGGAACCTCGCGGTCGATGCGGTTGAACTGCCAGGGCCAGGCGACGTTGTAGAGGAAGGGTCGCAGGTCAAAGCGGTTGTCGTCCGGGCCGTAGCTCTCGGCGTGGTAGGCGGGCGTCAGCGTCGTCATCTTGTGCCGGTTGAGGGCGTACGAGCGGAAGAAGTGCTTCACCCTCTCAGCCACCTTCGTCGTCGCGACCACAGCCACAACAAGAACGAGGATGATCATCGACGGACGCCACCTTCACTTTCCTTCTATTTAGCTTCTTCTCTCTTGGTCTTTCATTTATCCTGATTCGTACAAGGCACCTTACAAATAAATGTAAATAATTATGAGCTGTTATTTATTATTTTAAAGATTTGTTACTAATAATGTTTTCTTATATTCATTATATTTGTATTCATCATCAGTCATTGTTATTTTGTTTTGGGCAGCAGGCCCTCGCACGATACTCAACACGCGAGCACAGGGGACCCCTGAGCACCCCATGTGGTCACCCCAGCGCTGTGACCCCAGCGCTGTGACCCCAGCGCTGTGACCCCAGCGCTGTGACCCCTGAGCCACCCACACACCCAGAGCCACCCCCAGCGCTGTGAGTCCTGAGCCACCCACACACCCAGAGCCACCCCCAGCACTGTGAGTCCTGAGTCACCCACACGCCCAGAGCCACCCCCAGCGCTGTGACCCCTGAGTCACCCACACGCCCAGAGCCACCCCCAGCGCTGTGAGTCCTGAGTCACCCACACACCCAGAGCCACCCCCAGCGCTGTGAGTCCTGAGTCACCCACACACCCAGAGCCACCCCCAGCGCTGTGACCCCTGAGCCACCCACACACCCAGAGCCACCCCCAGCGCTGTGAGCCCTGAGTCACCCACACACCCAGAGCCACCCCCAGCGCTGTGACCCCTGAGTCACCCACACGCCCAGAGCCACCCCCAGCGCTGTGAGTCCTGAGTCACCCACACACCCAGAGCCACCCCCAGCGCTGTGAGTCCCTGAGTCACCCACATACCCAGAGCCACCCCCAGCGCTGTGAGCCCTGAGTCACCCACACACCCAGAGCCACCCCCAGCGCTGTGAGCCCTGAGTCACCCACACACCCAGAGCCACCCCCAGCGCTGTGACCCCTGAGCCACCCACACACCCAGAGCCACCCCCAGCGCTGTGAGTCCTGAGCCACCCACACACCCAGAGCCACCCCCAGCGCTGTGACCCCTGAGTCACCCACACGCCCAGAGCCACCCCCAGCGCTGTGAGTCCTGAGTCACCCACACACCCAGAGCCACCCCCAGCGCTGAGTCCTGAGTCACCCACATACCCAGAGCCACCCCCAGCGCTGTGACCCCTGAGCCACCCACACACCCAGAGCCACCCCCAGCGCTGTGAGCCCTGAGTCACCCACACACCCAGAGCCACCCCCAGCGCTGTGAGCCCTGAGTCACCCACACACCCAGAGCCACCCCCAGCGCTGTGACCCCTGAGCCACCCACACACCCAGAGCCACCCCCAGCGCTGTGAGCCCTGAGTCACCCACACACCCAGAGCCACCCCCAGCGCTGTGACCCCTGAGTCACCCATACGCCCAGAGCCACCCCCAGCGCTGTGAGTCCTGAGTCACCCACACACCCAGAGCCACCCCCAGCGCTGAGTCCTGAGTCACCCACATACCCAGAGCCACCCCCAGCGCTGTGACCCCTGAGCCACCCACACACCCAGAGCCACCCCCAGCGCTGTGAGCCCTGAGTCACCCACACACCCAGAGCCACCCCCAGCGCTGTGACCCCTGAGCCACCCACACACCCAGAGCCACCCCCAGCGCTGTGAGCCCTGAGTCACCCACACACCCAGAGCCACCCCCAGCGCTGTGAGCCCCTGAGTCACCCACACACCCAGAGGCCACCCCCAGCGCTGTGACCCCTGAGCCACCCACACACCCAGAGCCACCCCCAGCGCTGTGAGTCCTGAGCCACCCACACACCCAGAGCCACCCCCAGCGCTGTGAGCCCCGAGCCCCCCACGTGGCCACCCCCAGCGCTGTGAGCCCCGAGCCCCCCACGTGGCCACCCCCATTGCTGTGAGCCCCGAGCCCCCCGTGGCTGCTGCCCTGCCGTCTCTGTGGCGCCAGTGTCGGTGCGTCACCGACCTGCGCTGGAGAGCAGCGCTGGCTCCACGCCGTGAGCAGCTTGCAGAACATGCTGTAGGGGCCGCACTTGTCAATCTTGCGCAGGCGGCCGAACACGGACAGCTCCGCGTAGCTCATGCCCATGTCCTCCTGCGTGGGTGTGCGTGTGTGCGCGTGTGTGCGTGCGTGTGTGCGCGCGTGTGTGCATGTGTGCGCGTGTGTGCGTGTGTGCATGTGTGTGCATGGGTGTGCGTGTGTGTGCGCGTGTGTGCGCATGTGTGTGCATGTGTGTGTGCATGTGTGTGTGCGTGCGTGTGCGTGTGTGTGCGTGAGTGTGCGCGTGTGCGTGTGTGCATGTGTGTGCAAGTGTGTGCATGTGTGTGCATGGGTGTGCGTGTGTGCGTGTGTGCGTGTGTGTGCGTGCGCATGTGTGTGCATGTGTGTGCGCGCGTGTGCGTGTGTGCGTGTGTGCGTGTGTGTGCATGTGTGTGTGCGTGTGTGCGCGTGTGTGCGCGCGTTTGCGCGTGTGCATGTGTGTGCATGTGGATGTGTGTGTGTGTGCGTGTGTGTGTGCGTGTGTGCGCGTGTGCATGTGCGTGCATGTGGGTGTGCGTGTGTGGGCGTGTGTGCATGTGTGTGCATGTGTGTGCGTGTGCGCGTGTGTGTGCGTGTGTGCGTGCGTGTGTGTGTGTGCGCGTGTGTGCGAGTTGGCACAGTAGGGGGCACAGGTGGTGCACCGTCCAATCATCTCAGTCAGTGAACCAATGGTCACCTGGGTATGTACCGTGACCTCCTGCCAGCAGGCGTTCGACACTTTTGGTGGCCATAACATGCACATAGCCTACCACAAGCACCATCGGGATGTCACAGCCACTTAGTGGCGAATAGCGGTTGTTGTTGTGTGCAAGCGTGTACATGTGTGTGTGTGGGTAGCGGTAGTGTAGCGGTTAGCGCGCAGTGCTATGAACCTGGCGACCCGGGTTTGATTCACGCTCACGGCCAACACCAGTGACGATTATCTGAACCGGTCCTGGGCCTTCCCAAGGTCGACTCAGCCTCAAATGAGTACCTGGTGCGATGTGTAAACATCGCCACTAGGGAGGCAAAGGCGGCCGGGCGTGGTGCTGGCCACCCATCACCTCGTGTGCCGTGCTGTTCGCTAACAGCACTTGCTCCAAGTATGTTAAGGCTATATAGGGGATCTTTGTCTTTGTTTGTTATGGGGAGTGGTAGTGCAGTCGTTAACGCGCCTGCGATGACCGATGTTCGATTCCTGCAGTGACGAATGTATATCGCCACTTGGGAGACAAAGGCGGCCGGGCGTGGTGCTGGCCACCCACCCCCTGTTGCGACTCTATGTTAGAATGTTTTGGCCAAATCTGTGAACGAGGTTTTTTATTTAGTTAGATGGCGTAAATATAAACATTGTGTCGTTAACCCCGTCGCCAACACCATCACCCGATACAGACAATGAATCCTGGGGTTTGTCACGTAACACAACACGTGGCCAATTAAGTTACTTAGTTCAGCACTAACCGGTCGTTGTGTGTTGGGAGAGTAAACCCACAACAACGTTGACAATCCAAGTAGCTGGTGACGTTTCGCCGGTAATTACAACAACAACCAGCCTCGTCAGCCAACAACAGCGATCTAACCCCATAACAGAAAAAAAGACCCTCTGTCGTAGATAACTATTAGTCGCGGAAGCCTGAACCACTACTTACCACTACTGCTGGGCGTTAAACCGTGCCCGAGTTATCCACAGGTGCGGGAGGAAAAGCGGTGTGATGATGACAATGAGTGCCCGGAGAAACTCCCCCACGGGTGCAAAGGGGGAGGAGGTGCCACCCAATCCCACCCACAAGCACCGATTCCCTGAGATCTGTGCTCCTACATTTGTTTGGCCAGCTCCAAGCCATGAGGCCTGATGACGATGATGACGACGATGATGACGATGGTGACAATGATGACGATGATGATGACGATGATGACAATGAAGACGACGATGACAATGAAGACGACGATGATGACGATGGTGACAATGATGACGATGATGACAATGATGATGATGATGACGATGACGACGACAATGATGCCGATGATGACGATGACGACGACGACAATGACGATGATGACGATGGTGACAATGATGACAATGATGATGATGACGACGATGATGACGATAATGATGATGATAACAATGATGATGACAATGATGACGGTGATGATAGTGATGATGTTGCTGACAATGATGATGACGATGATTATGACGATGATGATGATGACGAAGACCAGGCTTCATTGCAACAAACTTTCCTGCTCTACATACGAAGCAGTCACTTAGTTTCCGCTCCTCCCTCGAGATTCACTTTTTGTTCCCCTAGCTCTGCCCACACCCCCCCCCCCCCACCTTTAATCGCCCCTCCCTCCTCACCACCACCACCACCACCGTTCCTGCTCCCTCTTCATGGTCTCATAAAATTGCTGCCGCTCATTTCAATAAATTCATTCATCCCATCCATTCGTTCATCGTCATTTGCTCTCGTCAATTTAACTTTGACCTAATTTACGCATCATGGATTTGGTGGCTAGGAGATGTTAACTACCTCACCTGGTATGCAGGAGGGTTCCATCCCGACTCTAATGCCTGTTGTATATTTGGAGATTGCATGTTCTCTCTCTCTCTCCCCCCTCCGCGTTTAAAATCAACGTCACGCATTTAGAGTATTTGGCCGCTGCTGTACATTTCCACGTGACGATGATAGCGATCAGCCCACTTCGTTGAGCTATCATTTGGGGTAGCCGTGTCGCAAAGCCTCAGTAGGGCCTTCCCTGGTCAACAATGGTCCTCCGGGGTCTCCGGTGCATTGAGAGTATTTGGCTGATATAAATTTGCACAAAATAAGGCACTCTGTTGGGCCATCATTTGTGATGTCCAGGTAGCTTCTGATAAAGAGCTACACGGCTCAGTGGGGCCTTACACCTTGTAAAATAAAATAAAAATCGTTTCGTTTTGAAATAGTTAAATTAATAATAATTAACAGTAATAGTGTGTGTGTCCGGTGAAGTGTGTGTGTGAGCTCATCCCAAGTCGGCAGAGGCGGTGCAGAGGGTTACGCCAGTGGGTAAGGCGTGTGGGAGACTAAACTCCTCTTTTCAAAACAATGTTTGTATTATTTTACCAGGTGTGAGGCTGCTATAAATGTCCACGCGACGACGATAATCCAACTCGTTGGGCGATCATTTGGGATGGCCAAAGTCACTTCCCCAAAAAGACATCGACAGTCGTGGTGCCTGACATCTGGTCAAAGAAAAAATGGATTCGCCCCAATGACTTCCTCGCATCTGGGCGCGCGCGTACCGCTCTTAATTGTCCGTGAAGCCCCTCTCAACGCGCTAAGACTGCCTGATGGGTCACTGGCTCAGCGACGAGGTGAGAGGTGGTGGTGTGGTGGTGGTGTAGTGGTGGTGGTGCAGTCTCTCTCTCTCTCACCTCGTCCGTCTGAGTGGTGTGACCGTCTGCCAGCGGTTCCAGCTCAGCCGTGGGTGGTGCCTCTAGGATGCTGGGAACACCACACGGTCTGGTTCACGGCGCTTGCACGACACGTTGCTACAGCTGCTGCTGTCACAGCAGCTCAGCAGTCAACGTGAAAGACTCAACACAGAAGATCGCTTGGGTTTGATCTTCCACGAAGCTGCTCACGGTCCACCCAAAACTGCATCCACTGCACTAACCATGGCAGCAGATGCGGATAGCTAATGCACAAATGTCAAGTTAAAAAACTCATCATCAGGTTTTCACACCTGATGATGATTGCTTGTGTTGCAGTCGAAACGTCGTGAGAATTTAATTGTTTTATATTTTTATTATTTTATTGTTTCCCTTCTACGTGACTTTACCGAAAGAACCAAGAATATGAATCCCTGCAGTCACGAAAGCTTTCAATCAAAATTTATCCAGGAATAGTGGTACAACTGTGGTCATATAGAACAGACCGTACAGCGTATACACAAGAAATGCCCTGATCCACAAATACGAATGAGACATCACGGCGTTGATGATGATACACGACTACTCCGCTTGCTCCTGACACGGTTATCTGGCTTGTCCACCTGAATGTGAAATTGTAGTTATTCCTCTGCATCTACATCAGCCGTACGAAAGAAGAAGTGGTCAGCTCACCCCACTTTCTAAAATCTATAAACTATTTTTGTATTTTACCAGGTGTAAGGCCCCAGGTGTAAGGTTGACGATAGCAGCAGTGCTATTCTCAACTATTTTATTTTACCAGGTAAGGTCCACTGAGTGACTTAGCTCTTTTTCAGAAGCGACCTGGCCATCACAAATGATAGGTCAACAAAGTGGCTTATCGCATGGAAATTTATAATACGCTAAATGCATGTTGATTCAAAATGTTGAGCGAACAAAACAGAGAACCCGGAGAAAAATCCACATGACCACGGAGAGAGAGAGAGAGTCACACACAAACTCCAAATATGCAGTAGGCGTCAGGATCGGGATTGAACCCACGACCTCATTATATTAGGCGAGGAAGTTAACATCTTGCCACCGAAACACAACCCAAATATTTCGTTAACCTGAGGGTTATACTTATGTTACACCAAATTTTCCAAGACCATGAAACTTTTCAAGAAATAAACTAAGCCTACATTCTAACTGTGATATAAGAAATAATATACAACAGGTCGTGGGTTCGATCCCGACCACGACACCTGTTTGTATATTTGGAGTTTGCGTGTCTCTGTCTCCACGTAGTCGAGTGGATTTTTCTCCGGTTCAACATCACACGTGTACAGAGAACTCGCGTTTACAGAGGAGTACTCGCGTTTACAGAGGAGTACTCGCGTTTACAGAGGAGTACTCGCGTTTACAGAGGAGTACTCGCGTTTACAGAGGAGTACTCGCATTTACAGAGGAGTACTCGCGTTTACAGAGGAGTACTCACGTTTAGAGAGGAGTACTCGCGTTTACAGAGGAGTACTCGCGTTTACAGAGAACTCGCGTTTACAGAGGAGTACTCGCGTTTACAGAGGAGTACTCGCATTTACAAAGGAGTACTCGCGTTTACAGAGGAGTACTCGCGTTTACAGAGGAGTCCTCGCGTTTACAGAGGAGTACTCGCATTTACAGAGTACTCGCATTTACAGAGGAGTACTCGCGTTTACAGAGGAGTACTCGCGTTTACAGAGGCGTACTCGCGTTTACAGAGGAGTACTCGCGTTGACAGAGTACTCGCATTTACAGAGGAGTACTCGCGTTTACAGAGGAGTACTCGCGTTTACAGAGGCGTACTCGCGTTTACAGAGGAGTACTCGCGTTGACAGAGTACTCGCATTTACAGAGGAGTACTCGCGTTTACAGAGGAGTACTCGCGTTTACAGAGTACTCTTGTTTACAGAGTACTTGCGTTTACAGAGTACTTGCGTTTACAGAGGAGTACTCGCGTTTACAGAGGAGTACTCGCGTTTACAGAGTACTTGCGGTAAGTACCTGGCATTGTCCGGGGGAAAAATATATTTAAAAACTTGTCTTCTCTTAAAAGCATAACATATACATACACAAATATGAAGCTATTGTGAAAGCCCGGCGTTCCGTTTGTCTGTCCATTTGTCCGTCAACAAAATGATAAGAGGCTTGCAGAAGTCAAAAAAGTAATAGAAAGTGCGGGTAAATAGTTGATCTGAAAGGTTTCCGAAAATTGTCGACCCCGTCTCAAAAAATGTTTACCCCCCTGTAGGCATATATACCTACACACCCTACATACAATAGAGTAGTATATAGTGACTCTACAATAGTGTCTGGCTCTGCAGTAGTAGCTACTGACTCTATAGTAGCATCTATTGACTCTATAGTAGTATCTACTGACTTACAGTAGTATCTACTGAGCACAGTAGTGGCTACTGACTGTATCGCAGTAACTATTGACCGTAGTAGTATCTACTGACTCTACAGTAGTATCTATCGACTCTATAGTAGTAATTACTAACCCTATAGTAGTATCTGCTGACTTTATAGTAGTAATTACTAACTCTATAGTATCTACTAACTCCATAGTAGTATCTACTATCACAACAGTAGTATATACTGACAATAGTAATATCTACTATCACTACAGTAGTATATACTGACTATAGTAGTATCTACTATCACTACGGTAGTATATACCAACTAGAATCATACCTAGTAACTCTACAGTAGTATATACTGACTATAGTTGTATCTACTAACTGTAGTATCTACCCACTTGATAGCAGTATATACTGACTCTATAGCAGTATCTGCTATCACTACAATAGTATATACTGACTATAGTAGTATCTACTAACTCTATAGAAGCATCTACTATCACTACAGTAGTGTATACTGACTATAGTAGTATCTACTAACTCTATAGTAGCATCTATCACTACCGTAGTATATACTGACTATAGTAGTATCTACTAACTGTAGTATCTACCAACTTGATAGCAGTATATACTGACTCTATAGCAGTATCTGCTATCACTACAGTAGTATATACTGACAATAGTAGTATCTACTGACTCTACAGTAGTATCTACCAACTTGACAGCATTATATACTGACTATAGTGGTATCTAGTAAATCTATAGTAGTATCTACCAACTCTGTAGTAGTATCTACTAACTCTATAGAATCATCTACTATCACTACAGTAGTGTATACTGACTATAGTAGTATCTACTAACTCTATAGTAGCATCTATCACTACCGTAGTATATACTGACTATAGTAGTATCTACTAACTGTAGTATCTACCAACTTGATAGCAGTATATACTGACTCTATAGCAGTATCTGCTATCACTACAGTAGTATATACTGACTATAGTAGTATCTACTAACTCTACAGTAGTATCTACTAACTCTACAGTAGTATCTACCAACTTGACAGCAGTATATACTGACTATAGTGGTATCTAGTAAATCTATAGTAGTATCTACCAACTCTGTAGTAGTATCTACTAACTCTACAGTAGTATATACTATCACTAAAGTAGTATATACTGACTATAGTAGTATCTACTAACTCTATAGTAGTATCTGCTATCACTACAGTAGTATATACTGACTATAGTAGTATCTACTAACTGTAGTATCTACCGACTCTGTAGCAGTATATACTGACTCTATAGCAGTATTTGCTATCACTACAGTAGTATATACTGACTATAGTAGTATCTACTATCACTACGGTAGTATATACTGACTATAGTAGTATTATATACTAACTCTATAGTAGTATATACTCACTACAGTAGTATCTACCTACTCTACAGTAGTATCTACCGACTCTATATTCGTATCTACCGACTCTATAATAGTATATATCGACTCTATAGCAGTATCTACTAACTATACACAGTGCCGCGGTGAGGCCTAGTCCCATGGAGAGCCACCGGGCTCGCCTAGATTGCCCAGCCGGCCAGGGTGCCACCTTGGCCGGCTGGGGCTGGGCTGTCCATGCAAAATATCTAGGAACAGGAGTCTGTTATTCACCTCCATTTCCATGGTGATGAGTTAGAAAATCATTAAGTGTATCTTTACCATGTGGCCAGACAAGCAAAGTGTCATCAACATATCTCAACCAAAACTATGGTTTTAATGTACTCGAGGCAAGTGCTCTTGTTTCAAAGTTTTCCATGTACAGATTTGCTATAGCAGGAGATAAAGGATAGCCCATTGCAGCTCCTTCCTTTAGTTTAAAGAAATCACCTCTCTCTCGATTTGAAGCTTTTGTGACAGCAGGAATCCATACTCTTTGGTTCTTTCGGTAAAGTCACGTAGGTAGAAATAAAATAAAACAAATCACATTTCGATCGCCACACAAGCGATCTTCATCAGGTGGGACAACCACAGCAAGAAAATGCTGAAGTCGGTGAGAGAGCTGCCGTGGCAAGAAGTTATATAGGTAAGATAGGGCGGAGGCAAGGGGGGAGAGAGAGGGAGGGAGGGTGTGGGGTAGGGGAAGGGGGCTGCGTGAGCGCTAGGGGAAGATGATGTGAGGCTTGGGGGGGGGGGGAAGTGAGCAGGGCTAGAAGTTGTAATGTGAGTGTGGGACACGGGGGAAAAAAATAAAAATGTACTAGTAAACCGGCAGGTACAATGAAAACAACCACAACCATCTTCTTTGGTTCTTTCGGTAAAGTCACGTAGAATGAGAATAAAATAATAAATTGATAAAATAAAATAACACAATAATATTCTCACGACGTTTCGGCCACAACACAAGCGGCCTTCATCAGGTGAAGGGACGAGACTGTCTGGTAGGACAGCGCTGGAGTGAAAGAGCCACGTTCAGATCATGACCTTTAAGCTGTGTGAGAGGAAACAAAGTGCCTTGACAAAGGAATTAGCATATAATTTAGCATTGAAATGGCTGAGTGATTAGCTTGTGACTGGTCACAGAAATAGCTATGTTAAAAGTTAAAGCATACACATCCGCAGAGGCACCCCTTGATAAAGGAATTAGCAGATGTGTATGCTTTAACTTTTAACATAGCTATTTCTGTGACCAGTCACAAGCTAATCACTCAGCCATTTCAATGCTAAATTATATGCTAATTCCTTTGTCAAGGCGCTTTGTTTCCTCTCACACAGCTTAAAGGTCGTGATCTGAACGTGGCTCTTTCACTCCAGCGCTGTCCTACCAGACAGTCTCGTCCCTTCACCTGATGAAGGTCGCTTGTGTTGTGGCCGAAACGTCGTGAGAATATTATTGTGTTATTTTATTTTATCAATTTATTATTTTATTCTCATTCTACGTGACTTTACCGAAAGAACCAAAGAAGATGAATCATTGCAGTCACGAAAGCTTTAAATCGAAATTCAACCACAACCAGTTAAGGCATTACCTGGTTAACAACACCCTTCCAATGATTGTTCAATTTGTATCCATATTTTCGGTTGAAGCTATGTCTGTTTATATATCTGGATGGCTTCATGAACAAACCTTGGATAGTTGCCCGAAGGTTTGCAGAGTACCTTGGTCTCGGAAAAAACAATATCATGAGAGCCCACAGCGTTATAACAATGGTCAGCTATGGCAGAGGTATTGGTTCTGCCGTGTTTCAGATTTGCCTTGTGTTCGCGAACACGGTCCGATATATGTCATTTCGTTTCCCTAATGTAACTGCTACCGCAGGTACAACTTAGTTTGTAGACTCCAGGGTATTGCATGTCAGGAATGACCTCCTTCACAGATGGGATTTTGTGTTCTGTATTGAATCAGACCTGGAGCTTGTGTTTAAGATTTTTAAAATCTTTTTGGTAACACCTGCTATGTATGGTAAAGTGATGGTTTTGATTGGCTTCTCAGGAGATTGTTTCTCCATGATTGGAAAAACAGCTTTGCGAATAATCTGGTCCGAGTACCCATTCATCTTGAGGGCTTGGTGTACGTGTTCCAGTTCAATGGCTAGGTGGTGTTGGTTGGAAATGCAGTGGGCCCTATGGTGTAGTGTTTTGATGAGGGAATTCTTCTGGGCCGGATGGTGGTGGGAATCAGGTTTTAGATAGAAATCTGTGTGGGTGGTTTTTCTGTAGATAGTGCCCCAACAAGCCGTCAGGCCTCTTCTCAACCAAAACATCCAGGAATGGTAGCTTACCATCCTTCTCCACTTCCATGGTGAATTTGATGAATGGGTGTATAGAATTGATGTGGTTGAGAAATTGGTTCAATGCTGGCAGGCCATGTGGCCAAATGATGAAAGTGTCATCTATGTATCTCTTCCACAAGGATGGACATAGGGTGGATGTCTGGATGGCATCCGTTTCAAATTTCTCCATGAAAACATTCGCTGGTGATAAGGGAGAACCCATGGGGGTACCTTCATTTTGTTTGTATAAAGTACCATTCCAGGTGAAGTAAGTGTTGGTAAGGCAGTGCCTAACCAAAGTTGGTATATCAGGATGCAGTCCATGTTGGACCAAGTCTTCAATTATTGCTAAGGTGTCAGGTACAGGAACCTTGGTGAACAGAGAGATTACATCAAAGCTGACGAGCAAATCATCTGGAGACAGTGAGATGCCCTTGACTAGAGAAACCAAGTCAGCTGAGTTATGTACTGCTGAGGTAGTCTTGCCCATGAATGGAAGCAAGGTCTCAGACAGAAATCGGGCCAGTTTGTAGGTAGGCGAGTTGATAGTGGAAATGATGGGCCCAAGTGGAGTACCTTCTTTATGGATTTTTGGAAGACCATAGAATCTGGGTGATCTAGCAGCAGAAGGTTTTAGGGAGAGCCGCTTGAATGGTTCGATTTTTGTAGCTAGGCAGTTGATAGGATCTTTGTTAATTTTGCTGTAACTCCATCATTAAGAAGGTCCTGGATTTTGTTGCTGTATGTGGTTTTATCCATGATTACAGTAGCATTGCCCTTGTTGGCTCAGAGGATGACTATGTCCTCTCTCTTTTTCAATTTGGCGAGTTCAGAGCGCTCGTCTTGTAGACAGTGTCCCACATCTATATTCTTTACTAGTGTAGCAAGTAATTTAAGCGACTCGTTCACTGGAACCTTTGTGAATAGAGAAATCACATCAAAACTCACCAGAATATCATTAGGGTTAAGTTTAATATCTTTAATCCCATTCACAAGATGTTCTGAATTTCTTATGAATGAAGATGTCCTACCGATGTTGGGCTGTATTTGTTTAGTTATATATTTTGCTAATTTATACATGGCAGAGCCAATTGTACTGACTACGGGTCGTAATGGGATGCCGATTTTATTCATCTTTGGTAGCCCATACAGTCTAGGTGGTTTTGAGGCCCTTGGTTTAATTTGGTTTTGCTCAGTCTTAGGGATTAATGAATTTGCAATGATTGCAGAAGTCTTACGTTCTAACGTATTAGTTGGATCTCGTCTGGTGTGCATTGCTAGGGCAACCACGGATCAGTGTTTCCGCGCATGCACAGATGCATGCTTTGGCGCTCGCTCAGCATAGTAATATAATAATAAATAGTCATTCATTGTTAATTTAACTACTTTACATTTGACGGATGGGAAAAACAAATCGCGATTTGTCGGTCGGGGGCTTATTGTGCCGTATGTGTGTATTTTGTTGAAACGTATACCCAGCAGTTTGTGAGTTAAAAGTGTCACAAGGTGTGTCCACACACACACAGACAGACGGACAACAGACAGACAAAAAATTCATAACGACACATTTATATATTTACGCGACCTAACCCAAAAACCTCTATTATGGATGATATTGGTCGCGAAAGCCTACGTGTTAAACAGTCAAAACATTACTTTTATAGGTAAGATATGTCTGCTGCAATACATTTTCACATGATGATGATTATAAGCCACTTCGTTGAGCTATCATTTTTGTGATAGCCAGGCCGCTTCTGAAAAACAGCTACTACATAGCAGCTGAGTGGGGCCTTACCACAGATGTCCCGGATTCGTCACGAGACTTTCCCGGGTGACCCAGGCAGAAATACAGACGACGGAGATGATTGTTGCTACGCAAGACCGAAGCTCACCTGGCGAGGGCGGTAATTCCGAACTCGCGCTCGCAGTACCGCACGAAGGAGCGCAGGTCGCTCTTGCTGATGCCACCGATGGGGTTAATGTCGGCGCTGGAGCAGTCGTACTTGGTGAGGTACCCGCGCAGGCTGCGCCACGCAGACACGGGCGGCCACAGGGTCACAGAGGAGTCCCAGGGTCATGGGGTCCCACGGTCACAGTGTCACAGGCCACAAGGCCTCGGGGTTACAGGGTCATAGGACCACAGTGTCACAGTGTCAGAGTCAGTGTCACAGTTTCACAGGGTCACAGGGTCAGTGCACAAGGTCACAAGGTCACAGTGGCAGTTTCACAGGGTCAGAGCACAAGGTCACAGGGTCACAGTAACAGTATCACAGGGTCACATGGTCACAGGGTTACAGTGTCACAGGGTCAGTGTCACAGTGTCACAGGGTCAGTGTCACAGGGTCAGTGTCAAGATCAGTCACAGGGTCACAGTGTCACAGGGTCAGTGTCACAGGTTCAGTGTCAGTGTCACAGGGTCAGTGTCACAGTGTCACAGTGTCAAGGTCACAGGGTCACAGTGTCAAGATCAGTGTCACAGGGTCACATTGTTAGTGTCACAGGGTCAGAGTGTCACATGGTCACAGTGTCAGTGTCACGGGCAGTGTCAGAGGGTCACAGGGTCACAGTGTCACAGTGTCACAGGTTCACAGGGTCACGGTGTCACAGGGTCACAGGGTCACGGTGTCACAGGGTCGCAGTGTCACAGGGTCACATTGTCACAGGGTTACAATGTCACAGAGTCACAGTGTCACAGGGTCAGTGTCACAGTGTCACAATGTCACAGGGTCACAGGGCCACAATGTCACAGGGTCACAGTGTCACAGTGTCAGTGCCACAATGTCACAGTGTCACAGGGTCACATTGTCTGTGTCACAGGGTCAGAGTGTCACATGGTTACAGTGTCAGTGTCACAGGGTCAGTGTCACAGGGTCACAGGGTCAGTGCACAAGGTAACAGGGTCAGTGTCACAAGGGCAGTGTCACAGGGTCACAGAGTCACAGGGTCAGTGTCACAGGGTCACAGTGTCACCGGTTCACGGTGTCATGGTGTCACAGGGTCACAGTGTCACAGGGTCACAGAGTCAGTGTCACAGTGTCAGTGTAACAGGGTCACAGTGTCACAGTGTCGCAGGGTCACAGGGTGTCAGTGTCACAGGGTCAGTGTCACAGGGTCACAGGGTCAGTGCACAACGTAACAGGGTCAGTGTCACAAGGGCAGTGTCAGAGGGTCACAGGGTCACAGTGTCAGTGTCACAGGTTCACAGGGTCACGGTGTCACGGTGTCACAGGGTCACAGGGTCACGGTGTCACAGGGTCGCAGTGTCACAAGGTCACTGTCACAGGGTCACAGAGTCACAGTGTCACAGGGTCAGTGTCACAGTGTCACAATGTCACAGGGTCACAGTGTCACAGGGTCAGAGTGTCACATGGTTACAGTGTCAGTGTCACAGGGTCAGTGTCACAGGGTCACAGAGTCACAGTGTAACAGGGTCACAGTATCACATGGTCAGTGTCACAGTGTCAGTGTCACAGTGTCAACAGGGTCACAGTGTCACAGTGTCACAGGGTCACAGTGTCACAGCGTCACAGGGTCACAGAGTCACAGTATCACAGTATCAGTGTCAGGGTCACATTGTCACATTGTCACAGGGTCACAGTGTCACAGTGTCACAGGGTCACAGTGTCACAGCGTCACAGGGTCACAGGGTCACAGTATCACAGTATCAGTGTCAGGGTCACAGTGTCACGGTGTCACAGGGTCACAGGGTCAGTGTCACAGGATCAGTGCACAAGGTCACAGTGTCACGGTGTCAGTGTCAGTGTCACAGGGTCATAGTGTCAGAGGATCACAGTGTCACAGGGTCACAGGGTCACTGTGATAGTGTCACAGGGTCACAGGGTCAGTGTCACAGTTGTCACAGGGTCACAGGGTCAGTGTCACAGGATCAGTGCACAAGGTCACAGGGTCACAGTGTCAGTGTCACAGGGTCACAGTGTCAGAGGGTCACAGTGTCACAGGGTCACAGGGTCACTGTGTCAGGGTCACTGTGTCACAGTGTCACAGTGTTACAGGGTCACAGTGTCACAGGGTCACATTGTTAAAGGGTCACAGTGTCACAGGGTCAGTGTCACAGTGTCAGTGTCACAGTGTCGCAGGGTCACAGTGTCACAATGTGACAGGGTCACAGGGTCACAGTGTCACAGTGTCAGGGTCAGTGTCACAGTGTCACAGTGTCAGAGGGCAACAGTGTCACAGTGTCAGTGTCACAGGGTCACATGGTCACAGTGTCAGTGTCAGGGTCAGTGTCACAGTGTCAGTGTCAGAGGGCAAGTGTCACAGTGTCACAGGGTCACAGTATCAGTGTCACAGGGTCACAGGGTCACAGTGTCAGTGTCACAGGGTCACTGTGTCACAGTGTCACAGGGTCAGTGTCACAGTTGTCACAGGGTCAGTGTCACAGGGTCAGTGTCACAGGATCAGTGCACAGTATCAGTGTCACAGGGTCACAGGGTCACAGTGTCACGGTGTCACAGTGTCACAGGGTCACCGTGGCAAAGGGTCACGGTGTCACAGAGTCAGAGTGTCACAGTGTCAGTGTCACAGGGTCAGAGTGAAACAGCGTCACAGGGTCACAGTGTTACTGTGTCACAGGGTAACTGTGTCACAGGGTCACAGTGTCACAGGGTCACAGTGTCACAGTGTCACAGGGTCACAGTGTCAGAGTGTCGCAGGGTCACCATGTCACAGGGTCACAGTGTCACAGGTTCACAGTGTCACTGTGCCAGTGTTAGTGTCACAGGGTCACAGGGTAACAGTGTCACAGGGTAAGTGTCACAGGGTCACAGGGTAAGTGTCACAGGGTCACAGTGTCACAGGGTCATAGTGTCAGTGTCACAGGGACACAGGGTCAGTGCACAAGGTAACAGGGTCACAGCGTCATAGGTTCACAGTGTCACAGGGTCACAGTCCAGTGTCACAGGGTCACAGTGTCAGTGTCACGGTCACATGGTCACAGGGTCACAATGACACAGGGTCAGTGCACAAGGTCACATGGCCACAGTGCCACAGGGTCACAGTGTCACAGGGTCACAGGGTCACAGCGTCAAAGGGCCACCGTGGCAAATGGTCACGGTGTCACAGAGTCAGAGTGTCACAGTGTCAGTGTCACAGGGTCACAAGGTCACAGGGTCACAGTGTCAGTGTCACAGTGTCACAGCGTCACAGTGTCAGAGGGTCAGTGTCACAGGGTCACAGTGTCACAGGTTCACAGGGTCATGGTGTCACGGTGTCAACGGGTCATGGTGTCAAGGGTCACAGTGTCACAGGTTCACAGGGTCACGGTGTCACGGTGTCACAGGGTCACGGTGTCACAGGGTCACAGGGTCACATTGTCACATTGTCACAGGGTCACAGGGTCACATTGTCACATTGTCACAGGGTCACAGGGTCACAGAGTCACAGTGTCACAGGGTCACAGTGTCAGAGTGTCAGAGTGTCAGAGTTTCACAGGGTCACAGGGTCACAGTGTCAGTTTCACAGTGTCAGAGTGCCACAGTGTCAGAGTTTCACAGGGTCACAGGGTTACAGTGTCACAGGGTCACAGTGTCAGAGTGTCAGTGTCAGAGTGTCACAGGGTCACAGTGTCAGAGTGTCACAGGGTCACAGTGTCAGAGTGTCAGAGTGTCACAGGGTCACAGGGTCACATGGTCACAGTGTCAGAGTGTCACAGTGTCAGAGTGTCACAGGGTCACAGTGTCAGAGTGTCACAGGGTCACTGTGTCACAGGGTCACAGGGTCACAGTGTCAGAGTGTCACAGTGTCAGAGTGTCACAGGGTCACAGTGTAAGAGTGTCACAGGGTCACAGGGTCACAGGTTGCCAGGGTCATGATGCACTTCTGAGGTCGTCTGCGACGCTCTTCCTTCCGATATTAGGAAGCCACCGGGGATCTTGACTTAAAGCTTTCGTGACTGCAAATAAACAATAAACTACCACATCACTAGCCCCACCCACTTCGCGCATGACCCTTGGGCTACACCCATTTTAAACCTTTAAAAACAGCCTGCCTTCAGCAGCTTTCCGCCTCCGTTTTCCTCCTGATGAGGATCCGTTGTGTTGTGATCGAAACGTCGTAGTTTTTATTTTATTTTTATTAATTCGAACCCATCTACGTGACATTGGCAAACTAATTTATTTAGAACCAACTTTTATCTTTAGAATGCTGCCCGTCCCCTGTAGCGCCGATTAGCGCGGTTGGCAACGTACGGTGGGAAAGAAGCTCAACATACGCACACAAAGTCACAGGGTTAGTACCACACAACCTCTCATCACTAAACACTATTACTTATAACGGCTACACAGGCGGCTGAGAGGGATGATAGCAGTACACAGGGCATTGAAATTATTATTATTTTTAGATGACTCAGCTTTATTTTTCTGCTGTAAATTTCCACACGATAAGGCACTTTTTTGAGCTATCATTTGCGGCCAGGTCGCTTCTGAAAATAAAGTTAATACCTCAGTGGGCCATACCTGGTAAGATACCAAAAAGATAGCTTAGTTTCATTTGTATGTTTTTGTATTGTTTTGTTATTGCGTCGTTCTGACCCCATGCCCCTACCGGACATCTGTGACAAAGAGCTTTGTAGCTCTTCGGATTCCTCATCCTGCAGTCTAAATAAATATTCTGATTCTGACACGGGGGTACTTGGGGGTATGTGGGGGGACATGGGGGTACTTGGGGGTGCTCACGAGTAACTTGGGGGTACTCAAGGATAATCGAGGGAACTCGAGGGCACTCAAGGATATTCGGGGAAACTCGGAGGTACTTAGGAGTACTCGAGGGTACTCAGGGGTATGTGGTGAGCTTGAGGGTACTTGGGGTACTTGCGTGCACTCGGGGGTATATGGGGGTACTTGGGGGTACTCAGGGGTACTCTGGGGGTTACAGGGCGGTGCGTGGGGTGAGTCCGGCACCTCTCGTCCACGTTGGCCGACCCCAGGACGAGGAGTCCTCCCGGGCGTCCCCGAGCCCACAGGCCCAGCTGGGCAAACAGGTACGCGAGGACCATGCGCACACGGGCCTGCCAGCGCGTCACACCACCACCACCAGGTCAACAACCATCACCACCACCAGGTCAACAACCATCACCACAGCCACCACCAGGTAAATAACCATCACCACCACCGATTTGACAGCAGAGGTCTCACTCCGAATCAGTCGGGCGGCATTATCTTTTCATCGGCTGCGCAATGCTGTGTGGATGCTACCAAGTCTGTCAGCCACAGTCATGCCCTCCCTTCTCTATGCTTGTGAAACATGGACTCCTCTAATGGAACATCTGTGCTAGTTAGAAACATTCAGGCTGGCCTGCCTACCATCCATCCTGGGATTCACCAGGCTGGATTGTGTGAGGAGCTCACAAATCCTTAATAGATCTGGACACATTTCCATCAGTGAGCTCCTCCAGCAGGCAAGGCCTCGTGAGCTGGGCTGGGTCATGTAGCCCACATGCCCAGCCACCGAATGCCCAAGCAGCTTGTTTGGCCCCATAGTGGGGGCTGTACAGGCACGACACGGGCTGGAGAAGAGATGGACTGATGCGGTACGGAAGGATGTGGAGCTGAGTGGACTTGCCGAAGACTGGTACCAGCGGTGTCAATATCGAGGCTCGTGAAGGACGCTACTGGGCAGTGGGAACCAGTCGCCCTCCAGCAACAACGGAGGGTAGAGGACCGACGCTCACAACAACGAGAAGAGCGCCGGGCGGCTAAAATGCAGCAAGTTGGCACCGTAGGGGACACAGGTGGTGCATCTACCAGTCATCTTATTCAGTCAACCAATGGCACCTGGGTCTGTCCCGAGACCTCCTGTAAGCAAGCTTTCGACACTTTACGTGGCTTCAGAGTGCACCTGGCCTGGCACAGGCGCCGTGGTGATGCCACCATCACTTAGTGGCGAAAGGCGGGTATTGGTATTGATGTGCGGGTGTGTGTGAGAATGTGATTGAGAGTGAGTGGAGGTTGTGTGATCCCTCCCCCTGTTCTGCAGTGAGTGTGCGATAGGGAACGGTAGTGTAGCGGTTTGCGAGTTGCGCTACGAACCCGGTGACCTGAGTTCAATTCTCGCTCAAGGCCAACACCAGTGACGATTATCTGAACTGGTTCTGGTCCTTCCCGATTCAGCCTCAAATGAGTATCTGGTGTGATGCGTAAAAACATCGCCAGTGGGGAGACAAAGGCGTCCGGCCATGGTGTTGGCTACCCTCCCCCTCGTGTGCCGTGCCGGCCTTCATAGGTGTTGCTCACCAAGAGCACTTGTCCCAACAGTCTGTTACAGGCTATACGGGGGATCTTTGTGTGAATGTGTATGTGTGCGAGTGTTATTCTGAATGAGTGGGTGGAGGTTGTGTGTTCTTCCCCTGATCTAAATGTGTTTTCTCCAGGTTCTCCGGTTTGCTCCCATGTGAGTCTGGGTATCTGTGTGAGTCTCCATGTGGGTCTTTGTGTGGCTCTCCGTGTGAGTCTGTCGGTCTCCGTGTGGGTCTCCGTGTGGGTCTCCGTGCGAGTCTGGGTATCCGTGTGAGTCTCCATGTGGGTCTTTGTGTGGCTCTCTGTGTGAGTCTGTCGGTCGCCGTGTGGGTCTCCGTGTGAGTCTGCGTGTGGGGATCAGCGTGAATCTCTAGTCACCTGGACGTTCTGCAAGGCGAGGTTCTCCCGGGCGCTGCCCCCGTGGGCAAGGAAACGGGGAGTCAACCCCGTGGCCACGCGCAGCACAGAGACCACAGCCTGCACGGCCGCGTCGATGCACACACCCAGGTGGTGGCTGTGTCACACACACACAGTCATCACTACACATGGCCTGCACCACCACGTCAATACACACACCCAGGTGGTGGCTGTGTCACACACACACACAGCCATCACTACACATGGCCTGCACCACCACGTCAATACACACACCCAGGTGGTGGCTGTGTCACACACACACACAGCCATCACTACACATGGCATGCACCACCACGTCAATACACACACCCAGGTGGTGGCTGTGTCACACACATGCACACAGCCATCAGTACACATGGCCTGCACCACCACGTCAATACACACACCCAGGTGGTGGCTGTGTCACACACACAGACATCACTACACATGGCCTGCACCACCACGTCAATACACACACCCAGGTGGTGGCTGTGTCACACACACACACAGCCATCAGTACACATGGCCTGCACCACCACGTCAATACACACACCCAGGTGGTGGCTGTGTCACACACACACACACAGCCATCACTACACATGGCCTGCACCACCACGTCAATACACACACCCAGGCGGTGGCTGTGTCACACACACACACACACAGCCATCACTACACATGGCCTGCACCACCACGTCAATACACACACCCAGGTGGTGGCTGTGTCACACACACACACACAGCCATCACTACACATGGAATGCACCACCACGTCAATACACACACCCAGGTGGTGGCTGTGTCTCACACACACCCAGCCATAACTACACATGGCCTGCACCACCACGTCAATACACACACCCAGGTTGTGGCTGATCGAGCTCTGACCGAGCAGCCGACCGAGCAGCTGATTGAGGAGTGCCAGTGCAGGCCTCACCTGCCGATCTGCGCTGCGAGCTGGGAGGCACGCCGCTTGGTGTCGCCGGAGGAGTTCTCGCTGCCCATGTAGCAGGTGGTGAAGAGCAGCCCGCACAGCCGCCCGGGCTCCCACGCCGTGTAGTCGGCGTCGCCCAGCAGACGTCGCGCATCGCCCATCACCTGCGTGTCTGCACGCACACACCCACTCGCTCATTCACCCACTCGTTCATTCACCCACTCGTTCATTCACCCACTCGCCCACTCGCTAACCCACTCGTTCATTCACCCACTCGCCCACTCGCTCACCCACACACCCACTCGTTCATTCACCCACTCGCTCATTCACCCACTCGTTCATTCACCCACTCGTTCATTCACCCACTCGTTCATTCACCCACTCGCCCACTCGCTTATTCACCCACTAGTTCATTCACCCACTCGCCCACTCGCTAACCCACTCGTTCATTCACCCACTCGCCCACTCCCTCACCCACACACCCACTCGCTCATTCACCCAGTCGTTCATTCACCCACTCGCCCACTCGCTCACCCACTCGCTCATTCACCCACTCGTTCATTCACCCACTTGCTCACACGCTCACCCACTCGCTCATTCACCCACTCGTAACCCACTCGTTCATTCACCCACTCGCCCACTCGCTCACCCACACACCCACTCGTTCACCCACACACCCACTCGCTCATTCACCCACTCGTTCATTCACCCACTCGTTCATTCACCCACTCGCCCACTCGCTCATTCACCCACTCGTTCATTCACCCACTCGCCCACTCGCTAACCCACTCGTTCATTCACCCACTCGCCCACTCCCTCACCCACACACCCACTCGCTCATTCACCCAGTCGTTCATTCACCCACTCGCCCACTCGCTAACCCACTCGCTCATTCACCCACTCGTTCATTCACCCACTTGCTCACACGCTCACCCACTCGCTCATTCACCCACTCGTAACCCACTCGTTCATTCACCCACTCGCCCACTCGCTCACCCACACACCCACTCGTTCATTCACCCACTCGCTCACTCGCTCACCCACACACCCACTCGCTCATTCACCCACTCGCTCATTCACTCACTCGTTCATTCACCCACTTGCCCACTCGCTAACCCACTTGTTCATTCACCCACTCGCCCACTCGCTAACCCACTCGTTCATTCACCCACTCGTTCATTCACCCACTCGCTAACCCACTCGTTCATTCACCCACTCGCCCACTCGCTAACCCACTCATTCATTCACCCACTCGTTCATTCACCCACTCGCTAACCCACTCGTTCATTCACCCACTCGTTCATTCACCCACTCGCTAATCCACTCGTTCATTCACCCACTCGCCCACTCGCTCACCCACACACCCACTCGTTCATTCACCCACTCGCTCACTCGCTCACCCACACATCCACTCGTTCATTCACCCACTTGCTCACTCGCTCACCCACACACCCACTCGTTCATTCACCCACTCGCCCACTCGCTCACCCACACACCCACTCGTTCATTCACCCACTCGCCCACTTGCTAACCCACTCGTTAATTCGCCCACTCGTTCATTCACCCACATACCCACTCGTTCATTAACCCACTCGCTCACTCGCTCACTCGCTCACCCACACATCCACTCGTTCATTCACCCACTTGCTTACACGCTCACCCACTCGCCCACTCGTTCATTCACCCAGTCGCCCACTCGCTAACCCACTCACCCACTCGTTCATTCACTCACTCGCTCACCCACACATCCACTCGTTCATTCACCCACTCGCCCACTCGCTCACCCACACACCCACTCGTTCATTCACCCACTTTCTCACTCGCTAACTCACTCGTTCATTCACCCACTCGCTCACTCGCTCACCCACTCTAAAGTGAACACTTTTTATTTTACCAGGTAACGCCCCACTGAGCTATCACAAATCGTAGTTCAATGAAGTGGCTTATTATCATCACGTGGAAATTTATGGCAGCGGCCAAATAACTCTAAACGCGTGATGTTGATTCTAATGTGGAGGGAAACACCGGAAAAATCCACGTGACCACCACGGGGACAGAGAGAGAAAGAGAGACGCAAACTCCAAATATACAGCGGCAGCAGCAACAGGCATCGTCAGGGTCGGGATCGGTCCCACGACCTCCTGCATACTAGGCGAGGTGGTTAACATCTCCTGGCCACCGCGGCACCCGTGCGCTCGCTCACCCGGTCGATCGTCTACCGCTAACTACCAAGGGTTACCGCCGCTGGGATCTCCGCTCGCGGATTCACTCCGGCAAGAACACGCCGCCGGGCGAGGCCTGGGGAAGTGCTGGACCGAGCCGTCATCCAGCGGCGGAGGGAGGGTGTCCGGCGCCAACGGCCATGCCAGCGGGAGCAGGGCACTCACTGCCCTGCAGGGCGGCCCGGCACACGAGGCGGCACATGGAGTAGACGATGCAGGCGGTGGCCGCAGAGTCGATGCCTCCGCTCAGCGGCAGGAAGAACCCTCCCTGCAACCGCCACGCGAGCACCACACCATCACCGCACGATCACCGCACGATCACCGCGCAATCACCACGCGATCACCACGCGATCACCACGCGATCACCACACGATCACCGCATGATCACCACGTGATCACCACACGATCACCGCACGATTACCGCACAGGGGAATCTGTGTGGAATCTGGCTGTGCTGTGTGTGGCTGTGTGTGGCTGTGTGTGGCTGTGCTGTGTGTGGCTGTGGGTGGCTGTGCTGTGTGTGGCTGTGCTGTGTGTGGCTGTGTGTGGCTGTGCTGTGTGTGGCTGTGTCTGGCTGTGCTGTGTGTGGCTGTGTGGCTGTGCTGTGTGTGGCTGTGTGTGGCTGTGTCTGGCTGTGCTGTGTGTGGCTGTGTGGCTGTGCTGTGTGTGGCTGTGTGTGGCTGTGCTGTGTGTGGCTGTGTGTGGCTGTGCTGTGTGTGGCTGTGTCTGGCTGTGCTGTGTGTGGCTGTGTGGCTGTGCTGTGTGTGGCTGTGCTGTGTGTGGCTGTGCTGTGTGTGGTTGTGTGTGGCTGTGCTGTGTGTGGTTGTGCTGTGTGTGGCTGTGTGTGGCTGTGCTGTGTGTGGCTGTGTCTGGCTGTGCTGTGTGTGGCTGTGTAGCTGTGCTGTGTGTGGCTGTGTGTGGCTGTGTGTGGCTGTGTTGTGTGTGGCTGTGTCTGGCTGTGCTGTGTGTGGCTGTGTGGCTGTGCTGTGTGTGGCTGTGTGTGGCTGTGTGTGGCTGTGTCTGGCTGTGCTGTGTGTGGCTGTGTGTGGCTGTGTGGCTGTGCTGTATGTGGCTGTGTGTGGCTGTGCTGTGTGTGGCTGTGTGTGGCTGTGCTGTGTGTGGCTGTGTCGGGCTGTGCTGTGTGTGGCTGTGTGTGGCTGTGAGTGGCTGTACTGTGAGTGGCTGTGCGGTGTCACCTGGTTGCTCCTCCGCAGGAAGTCCCAGAGCCAGCAGGCGGGGCCCAGGCTGCAAGACAGAGCGTGGAGTAGAGGCGCAGCCCTGCAACAGCCGACTCACTCCGCCTTATTGGAATTCAGTTTCTTGTCCCCCACCTCCCCCCGCACCACCGATTGGCACGGTTGTTCTATCGTACGGTGGTGCGAAAGACGGTCGACGTTACAGTATGCTGGTGGTGGTGATGGTGGTGGTGATAATGATGATGGTGGTGGTGATGTTGAGGACGCGGCCGTCTGGAACACTCTAGATGGATGGAAGCGTGGGGGGGGGGGGGCGGCTGATGGATGGAAGTGTAGGGCTATTAACACAACACACTCCTAAGGCTATTAACACAACACATTCCTAGGGCTATTAACACAACACACTCCTAGGGCTATTAACACAACACACTCCTAGGGCTATTAACACAACAGACTCCTAGGGCAATTAACACAACACACTCCTAGGGCTATTAACACAACACACTCCTAGGGCTATTAACACAACACACTCCTAGGGCTATTAACACAACACACTCCTAGGGCTATTAACACAACACACTCCTAGGGCTATTAATACAACATACTCCTAGGGCTATTAACACAACATACTCCTAGGGCTATTAACACAACATACTCCTAGGGCTATTAACACAACACACTCCTAGGGCTATTAACACAACACACTCCTAGGGCTATTAACACAACACACTCCTAGGGCTATTAACACAACACACTCCTAGGGCTCTTAACACAACACACTCCAAGGGCTATTAACACAACACACTCCTAGGGCTATTAACACAACACACTCCTAGGGCTATTAACACAACACACTCCTAGGGCTATTAACACAACACACTCCTAGGGCTATTAACACAACACACTCCTAGGGCTATTAACACAACACACTCCTAGGGCTATTAACACAACACACTCCTAGGGCTATTAACACAACACACTCCTAGGGCTATTAACACAATACACTCCTAGGGCTATTAACACAACACACTCCTATGGCTATTAACACAACACACTCCTAGGGCTATTAACACAACACACTCCTAGGGCTATTAACACAATACACTCCTAGGGCTATTAACAGAACACACTCCTAGGGCTATTAACACAACACACTCCTAGGGCTATTAACACAACACACTCCTAGGGCTATTAACACAACACACTCCTAGGGCTATTAACACAACACACTCCTAGGGCTATTAACACAACACACTCCTAGGGCTATTAACACAACATACTCCTAGGGCTATTAATACAACACACTCCTATGTCTATTAACACAACACACTCCTAGGGCTATTAATACAACATTCTCCTAGGGCTATTAACACAACATACTCCTAGGGCTATTAACACAACATACTCCTAGGGCTATTAACACACCACACTCCTAGGGCTATTAACACAACACACTCCTAGGGCTATTAACACAACACACTCCTAGGGCTATTAACACAACACACTCCTAGGACTATTAGCACAACATACTCCTAGGGCTATTAACACAACACACTCCTAGGGCTATTAACACAACACACTCCTAGGGCTATTAACACAACACACTCCTAGGGCTATTAACACAACATACTCCTAGGGCTATTAACACAACACACTCCTAGGGCTATTAACACAACACAATCCTAGGGCTATTAACACAATACACTCCTAGGGCTATTAACACAACAAACTCCTAGGGCTATTAACACAACACACTCCTAGGGCTATTAACACAACACACTCCTAGGGCTATTAACACAACACACTCCTAGGGCTATTAACACAACACACTCCTAGGGCTATTAACACAACACACTCCTAGGGCTATTAACACAACACTCCTAGGGCTATTAACACAACACACTCCTAGGGCTATTAACACAACATACTCCTAGGGCTATTAACACAACACACTCCTAGGGCTATTAACACAACACACTCCTAGGGCTATTAACACAACACACTCCTAGGGCTATTAACACAACATACTCCTAGGGCTATTAACACAACACACTCCTAGGGCTATTAACACAACACACTCCTAGGGCTATTAACACAACACTCCTAGGGCTATTAACACAACACACTCCTAGGGCTATTAACACAACATACTCCTAGGGCTATTAACACAACACACTCCTAGGGCTATTAACACAACACACTCCTAGGGCTATTAACACAACACACTCCTAGGGCTATTAACACAACATACTCCTAGGGCTATTAACACAACACACTCCTAGGGCTATTAACACAACACACTCCTAGGGCTATTAACACAACATACTCCTAGGGCTATTAACACAACACACTCCTAGGGCTATTAACACAATACACTCCTAGGGCTATTAACACAACACAATCCTAGGGCTATTAACACAATACACTCCTAGGGCTATTAACACAACATACTCCTAGGGCTATTAACACAACACACTCCTAGGGCTATAAACACAACACACTCCTAGGGCTATTAACAGAACACACTCCTAGGGCTATTAACACAACACACTCCTAGGGCTATTAACACAACACACTCCTAGGGCTATTAACACAACACACTCCTAGGGCTATTAACACAACACACTCCTAGGGCTATTAACACAACACACTCCTAGGGCTATTAACACAACATACTCCTAGGGCTATTAATACAACACACTCCTATGTCTATTAACACAACATACTCCTAGGGCTATTAATACAACATTCTCCTAGGGCTATTAACACAACATACTCCTAGGGCTATTAACACAACATACTCCTAGGGCTATTAACACAACACACTCCTAGGGCTATTAACACAACACACTCCTAGGGCTATTAACACAACACACTCCTAGGGCTATTAACACAACACACTCCTAGGGCTATTAACACAACACACTCCTAGGGCTCTTAACACAACACACTCCTAGGGCTATTAACACAACACACTCCTAGGGCTATTAACACAACACACTCCTAGGGCTATTAACACAACACACTCCCGGGTGGTGATCACCCAACTAACCACGCTATGGCGGAACAAGATGCGGTTCCGCTATCACGGTCCGGACCACGAGCCGGGTCCCTTATAGCGGGCCGGGCTGGGGCCGGCTCCGCCTCTCGCCCCGCCCACCTTCTCGATCTCTCTCGGACCACGTGACCACCCATTGGCCCCCTCCAGTATCATCCAGTCACGTGTCCAATGGTCAGCCAGAGTACCGTGCCCCCAACGTAACGCAGCAGGCTGACGCTCTCTCGCTCTCTCTCTCAACGGGAGCCCCCACACACACGCTGTGCGTGGTGCCACCGCGCTTGCCCGGCGCTCACCCAAGCCTCCTAGGGCTGGTGCCACACCCCGTGTGGTCGGGGTGTACACACAGCAGGAGACATCCCGCCGTGGCCTCGCAGGCCGAGCACCACACGGTGACAATCCCATTCGCTGCAGAAGCATGGGGGGCTGATGGATGGAACCGTGGGGGGCTGATGGATGGAACCGTGGGGGGCTGATGGATGGAACTGTGGGGGACTGATGGATGGAACTGTGGGGGGCTGATGGATGGAAGCGTGGGGAGCTGATGGATGGAACTGTGGGGGGCTGATGGATGGAACCGTGGGGGGCTGATGGATGGAACCGTGGGGGGCTGATGGATGGAAGCATGGGGGGCTGATGGACGGAACCGTGGGGGGCTGATGGATGGAAACATGGGCGGCTGATGGATGGAACTGTGGGGGGCTGATGGGTGGAAGCGTGGGGGGCTGATGGACGGAACCGTGGGGGGATGATGGATGGAAACGTGGGGGGCTAATGGATGGAACTATGGGGGGCTGATGGGTGGAAGCGTGGGGGTCTGATGGATGGAACTGTGGGGGGCTGATGGATTGAACCGTGGGGGGTTGATGGATGGAACCATGGGGGGCTGATGGATGGAACCGTGGGGGGCTGATGGATGGAGCCGTGGGGGGCTGATGGATGGAACCGTGGGGGGCTGATGGATAGAACCGTGGGGGGCTGATGGATGGAAGCGTGGGGGGCTGATGGACGGAACCGTGGGGGGCTGATGGATGGAAACGTGGGCGGCTGATGGATGGAACTGTGGGGGGCTGATGGGTGGAAGCGTGGGGGGCTGATGGACGGAACCGTGGGGGGATGATGGATGGAACCGTGGGGGGCTGATGGATGGAATCGTGGGGCTGCTCAGGCCTAGGAGGAGGCTTCAGAGTAGGCCTCACCTGATCTCCTCCTCCGCTGAGTGGTAGCTCCACTCGAGGTACGGGCTGGGGGTCACCGTGAGGTCATCGTGCGAGGAGAGCGCAAAGGGGACGCGGACACGCGGGTAGCGCCCGCCCCGCGCCGCCTGCACACAAAGACAAAGCTTTCCACACTGACACCACCACCGCCGCCACCGCCCATCAAACCGTTACCTCGGCGCACGGCTGCGGGGGAGGGGGGAGAAGCGGTGTCGGTGAGGGCGGTCGGCGCTGCTGCGCCACTCACGGCCAGGTTCCTGGAGGACCTCTCCCCGCGGTAGCTGCGAACGTCCTCCAGGTCCACGGTGGCCGTGATCACCTCCTGCGCTCCCGTGGTGCGCACAAGTACGCAAGCACGCACACACACAGACACACACCCACACAGACACGCGCGCAGACACACACACGCACACAACAACAACCGCCATTCGCCACTAAGTGGCGGTGACGTCACCACGACGCTTGTGCCAGGCCATGTGCACCCTGAGGCCACGTGAAGTGTCGAACGCCCGCTGGCAGGAGGTCACGGGGCAGACCCAGGTGCCACGGGTCGACTGACTGAGATGCCTGGCTGATGCACCACCTGTGCCCCCTACTGTGCCAACCTTGTGTGCTTTAGCCACCCGGCGCTCCGCTCGTTGTTCTGAGCGTCGCTCCTCCGCCCTCCATTGTTGTTGGAGGGCCGATCTTGACACCGCTGGTACCAGTCATTGGCAAGTCCACTCAGCTCCATGTCCTCCTGTACCACATCACTCCATCTCTTCTCTAGCCCGTGCCGCGCCCGCTTAGCCTCCTCAATCCGGCCAAACAAAAGCTGTTTCGGCATGCGGTGGCTGGGCATGCGGGCTACATGACCCAGCCATCGCAGCCTTGCCTGCCGGAGGAGCTCACCGATGGGACCCTGCCCAGATCTTTCAAGGATTTGTGAGCTCCTCACATAATCCAGTCTGGTTAAACCCAGGATGGATCGTAGGCAGGCCAGCCTAAATGTTTCTAACCAGCGAAGATGTTCCATTAGGGGGGTCCACGTTTCGCAAGCGTAGAGAAGGGAGGGAATGACCGTGGCCGAGAAGACCTGAAGCTTAGTGCGGAGCGACAGACCAGGTAGCTTCCACACAGCGTTACGCAACCGATGAAAAGATATTGCCGCTCGACTGATTCGGAGTGAGACCTCTGCTGTTAAACTGGAGCCAGTCATAAGCACACTGCCCAGGTATGGGAAACTCTCCACTCTCTCCACAACTGCCCCATCACCGATTGGGAGTTGTGGGGGTGGAGTGTCCGATGGTACAAAATACCCAGGCAGGTGCTTAGTTTTGGTGGGGCTGATGGTAAGGCCCCACCTCTTAGTGGCACGCTCCAGTCTCAGCAGCAGTGTCTCCAACTCCTCCTCTGACTGAGCAGCTATTACCAAATCATCAGCATACATAACGTGGTTGAGCAATAGGGAGCCATCCCTTGACCGCACCCGGGCATCGATTAGCCTCCCATTATATCTGTACCATATGGAGATTCCCCCGGTACAGCTATTGAAGGCTTCACGAACTACATGGTCAAAATAGATGTTAAATAATGTGGGAGCCAGAGGACATCCCTGTCGCACCCCAAGGTGTACAGGGAATGGCTCTGACTCCCGGCCACGTAGTTTTACCCGGGCCCGCTCACCATCATGAAGGTCCTTAATGATCGTGAGCAGAGGGTCAGGTACTCCAAAAGCACGAAGAACGACCCAGAGCCCAGGCCTACTGATGGTATCATAGGCCTTGACCAGGTCAATAAAGCAGAGATGTAGGTCTTGTTGGAATTCCCTACACCTCTGCTGTAGCAGACGGACAGAAAATATGGCATCTGTGCAGGACCGCCCTTTCCTGAAACCGCATTGGGGCTCCGCAAGCCTCTCCTCAGCGTGCCTGGCAAGGCGATGCTGAATAATCCTTGCCAGGACCTTTCCCGGCACACTGAGGAGTGAGATGCCCCTGTAGTTGTTACAGTCTGTGCCGTCCCCCTTCTTAAAAAGGGGGACCACCAGGGCATCCTTCCAATCCTGCGGAACCCGTCCAGTGGTCCAGACTGTTGTTATGATGTCATATAGGGCAGTCTGTGCACAAACGCCACCCTCCCTCAGCATTTCGCTTGGGAGATCATCTCTGCCCGCTGCCTTTCCTGGTCTCAGACTCCGGATCGCCTTCAATACTTCCTCAGCAGATGGCACCTCAGCCAGCCACTCATAGGGGGTGACTTCTTCCAATATTTGAGGCACCGCAGCCTCAGCAGGGTCATACTCACTTTGTGCCACAATGTTTGCCTGGCTGAGGGATTTTCCCTCCCCCAGGACCTCACAGAAATGCTCAGCAAATCTGCGAACCTGTTCTTGGGGGTTGGAGATTGGATCACCGTTTTTTCCCCTAATGATGGTAATAGGTGTGGCGCTGCAGGTTACTTTTTTGATGGAGTTAAATAGAGATTTGTGATCACGGGCCACTGAGGCAGACTCCATCTCCTCAGCAACCCGCGACCACCACACATCCTTGCAGCGCCTCACGGCTCTCCGAACCTCCGAGCGAAGGCTGCGGTAAGCCTCCTCATTCTTTGACGTGGGATTCTGTAGCCGATGACAGTGGGCCTGTCGCTTTTTCTCAACCATCCTGAACACCTCCTCTGTCAGCCAGGAACTCTGGGGAGGTCTGGACCGCGTACCCAAAGCAGCCATTGCAGCTGCATGAGTCACAGTCCTAAACCTCGCCCAATTACCCTCGACATCAGGAGGAGTCGGTGACGATGCCAATCCCAGCCGCAAGCGATGATGAAATTCTCGCTTGCAACTTTCATCAGATAACTGAGACCAGGCCACTTTATGTTGGAATGGGGTCCTGGGTGTACACCCACCACCGGAGTGGAAGAATGGCAGGCGCATCTTACAGATGACTAGTCGATGATAAGAGGGCAGATCAGCTCCACGGTAGGTCCTGGTGTCAAGGACATGGGCTCGCATTCGCTGGGCCGTCACTATGTAGTCCAGCAGATGTTCTTGCTTGGACCCGGCATGCATCCATGATGTTGTGTGGATGCGCCGATGCCGGAACAGCGTGTTGGTAATTACAAGCCCATGGGCTGCACAAAAATCTAGCAGCCTCCTACCATTGTTATTGAGCTGATCTGGCCCATGCCCTCCAATCACCCCAGACCAGGTGCCAGTATCATGACCAACTCGGGCATTGAAGTCACCCAACATGATGACTCTATCCCGAGGGGCCACTTTAGCCAGCACCTGTGACAGGAGGTCATAGAAGGCATCTGACTCATCGGCTTTGCCTGCATCCCTCCACGGATGTTCATCTTCGGTGGGGGCATAAGTAACCACGACCACCATTCCTCGCCTCCGGTTGATGGGAAGGCGAGCCCAAAGTAGCCTGGCGCTTCCAGCTTCCCACACCTCACCGCCACGCTCCCACGCCCCCTTCATTCTTTTGTTCAAAAGAAGACCCACACCCTGTTGTTTGGCAGTCTGCTGCCCCGAGTAGAGGACTGTCCACCCCTCATGGTGGCAGGAGCCAGAGCCGGTCCACCGGACCTCCTGAATGCCGCATAGATCCAGGCGGTACCGGTCCAGCTCCCGACAGAGGAGTGGCAGCCTCTCCTCTGCAGTGAGCGTTCGAACATTCCACGTGGCCACCCGTAGTGGCTTTTCGTTGTTTCTGGAGTAGCCCCGAGGGTAGGTATTCAATCTTCTGGCTCCGCCAATTGGGGTTTGGCCAGGAGACGTCATAGACGCCTGCCCCCCCGGGGACACCGGCACAAGCTTATTAGTTACATATTTCAGTTTAACTCGTGGTTTCGTGGTAATTAATTGAAAGGTGGAGGGGTTACCAGCCCCTCGCACCCGTCCAGAGCCCCCGTTTAGCCCCTGTGGTGGACACATATGCCATGAGGGGAGGAGTTAAATCAAAATTGGATCTCCCCCCACAGCACTGTCCACGACAGAGTTGCCCGTCCGGCACCGCGAGGAGGTAGGGGGTTGTTTTGCCGGACTGCACGCACACACACACACACCCACACACACAGGAACATGCACACGCACCGCACACACAAGCACACACACGCATGAATGCACAGGCACACACACGCACGCACACACGCATGCACGCACAGGCACACACACACACACCGCACACAAAGATGAAGACAAAGATCCCCCGTATAGCCTTAACAGACTGTAGGGGCAAGCGCTGTTAGCGAGCACCTATGAAGGCCGGAACGGTACACGAGGGGGTGGGTGGCCAGCACCACGCCCGGCCACCTTTGTCTCCCCAGTGGCAATGTTTTTATCCACCGCACCAGGTACTCATTTGAGGCTGAGTCGACCTAGGGGAGGCCCAGGACCGGTTCAGATAATCATCACTGGTGTTGGCCGTGAGCGTGAATCAAACCTGGGTCGCCAGGTTCATAGCACAGCGTGCTAACCGCTACACTACCGCTACCCACACACATACACGTACACGCTTGCACACAACAACAACCGCTATTCGCCACTAAGTGGCGGTGACATCCCGATGGTGCTTGTGGTAGGCTATGTACATGTTATGGCCACCAAAAGTGTCGAACGCCTGCTGGCAGGAGGTCACGGTACAGACCCAGGTGACAACAACTACCGCCATTCGCCACTAATTGGCGGTGACGTCACCACGACGCTTGCGCCAGGCCATGTGCACCTTGTGACTGGCTGATGCACCATGTGACTGGCTGGTGCACCACCTGTGCCCCCTACTGTGCCAACCTGCTGTGCTTTAGCCATCCGGCGCTCCGCTCGTTGTTGTGAGCGTCGCTCCTCCGCCCTCCGTTGTTGTTGGAGGGCGACTGCCTCCAACTGCCCAGTAGCGTCCTACACAAGCCTGCTCCACAGAGGCCGATCTTGACACCGCTGGTACCAGTCATCGGCCAGTCCACTCAGCTCCACGTCTTCCTGTACCACATCACTCCATCTCTTCTCTAGCCCGTGCCGCGCCCGTTTAGCCCCCTCGATCCGGCCAAACAAAAGCTGTTTCGGCATGCGGTGGCTGGGCATGCGGGCTACATGACCCAGCCAACGCAGCCTTGCCTGCCGGAGGAGCTCACCGATGGGACCTTGCCCAGATCTTTCAAGGATTTTTGAGCTCCTCACACAATCCCGCCTGGTTAAACCCAGGATGGATTGTAGGCAGGCCAGCCTAAATGTTTCCAACAGGCAAAGAGGCTCCAATAAGGGGGTTCACGTTTCGCAAGCGTAGAGAAGGGAGGGAATGACCGTGGCCGAGAAGACCTGAAGCTTAGTGCGGAGCGACAGACCAGGTAGCTTCCACACAGCGTTACGCAACCAATGAAAAGATATTGCCGCTCGACTGATTCGGAGTGAGACCTCTGCTATTAAACTGGAGCCGGTCATAAGCACACTGCCCAGGTATGGGAAACTCTTCACTCTCTCCACAACTGCCCCATCACCGATTGGGAGTTGTGGGGGTGGAGTGTCCGATGGTACAAAATACCCAGGCAGGTGCTTAGTTTTGGTGGGGCTGATGGTAAGGCCCCATCTCTTAGTGGCACGCTCCAGTCTCAGCAGCAGCGTCTACAACTCCTCCTCTGAATGAGTAGCTATTACCAAATCATCAGCATACATAACGTGGTTGAGCAATAGGGAGCCATCCCTTGACTGCACCCGGGCATCGATCAGCCTCCCATTATATCTGTACCAAATGGAGATTCCCCCGTTACAGCTATTGAAGGCTTCACGAACTACGTGGTCAAAATAGATGTTAAATAATGTGGGAGCTAGAGGACATCCCTGTCGCACTCCAAGGTGTACAGGGAATGGCTCTGACTCCCGGCCACGTAGTTTTACCCGGGCCCGCTCACCATCATGAAGGTCCTTAATGATCGTGAGCAGATGGTCAGGGACTCCAAAAGCACGAAGAACGACCCAGAGCCCAGGCCTACTGATGGCATCATAGGCCTTGACCAGGTCAATAAAGCAGAGATGTAGGTCTTGTTGGAATTCCCTACACCTCTGCTGTAGCAGACGGACAGAAAATATGGCATCTGTGCAGGACCGCCCTTTCCTGAAACCGCATTGGGGCTCCGCAAGCCTCTCCTCAGCGTGCCTGGCGAGGCGATGTTGAATAATCCTTGCCAGGACCTTTCCCGGCACACTGAGAAGTGAGATGCCCCTGTAGTTGTTACAGTCTTTGCGGTCCCCCTTCTTAAAGAGGGGGACCACCAGGGCATCCTTCCAATCCTGCGGAACCCGTCCAGTGGTCCAGACTGTTGTTATGATGCCATATAGGGCAGCCTGTGCACAAACGCCACCCTCCCTCAGCATTTCGCTTGGGAGATCATCTCTGCCCGCTGCCTTTCCTGGTCTCAGACTCCGGATCGCCTTCAATACACACACACGCATGTACGCACACGCACGCATGCACACACGCATGCACGCACAGGCACACACACCACACACGCATGCACGCACACACACATACGCATGCACGCACACGCACACACACATACGCATGCACGCACGCGCACACGCATGCACGCACATGCACGCACGCACGCGCACACGCACGAACGCACACACACCACACATGCATGCACGCACGCATGCACGCACACACCGCACACACACGCATGCACACGCACGCACACACACACCGCACACACGCACGCACACACACGCATACACGCACACACGCACAGGCACACACACACACACCGCACGCACACGCAAGCACGGGTTCCCGTGAAGCCCACACGCCGCTGGGGTGGTGGTGGGTGGTGGTGGTGGTGTTGAGTGGTGAGTGGCGCCCGTGCTCACCGTATCGTCGAGTGAGAACTGTGATCCCTGCGCCAGTAGCCTCCCGTTGACGGCTATCATGGCGCAGCCGTCGTAGTAGAGGCGGTCTCCATCGCAGCCTTTCTGGTTGGAGAAGACGTAGACGCCACCGCTCTGCACGCAACGGGCACAAGTCCACTCTGTTCTGTCGCCCAGTGAGGCTGCTTCTCGTTGATGTGATTGTTGACGTGGTTGTTGTAGTTTGTGATTGTTGTTGTGGTTGTTGTTGTTGTTCTAATCACCAGCGAAATGTCACCAGCTACTCGAATCGTAATCGCTGTTGTGGGTTGAACTCTCCAAAACACGGCAACCCGCTAGTGCTGGAGTGGTAACGAATTGCCCACGTGTTGTTGAGGTCACAAAGCCCCTTGCTGGTAATTGGCTGTGCCGTTGGGTAGTGGCGGGTTGAACAACATTCATACAGACGCCATCTCACCCACCAAACAAAAACCCTTGTGGACATCGAGCTTGTTGGCCTGTCCAAGGACGGGTGTAGATTGCAGTAAATCTTAAATATTAAATAGAAACATTGTTCAACTCACGATTATTAATTAGGTGGGAGGGGGTTGCCCCATGCGGAGTGACGTCACCGGCTCATGATTATTAATGAGGGGAGGGGTGCGGCATGTGGAGTGACGTCACCAGCTCATGATTATTAATGAGTGGAGGGGTGTGGCATGTGGAGTGACGTCACCGGCTCACGATTATTAATGAGTAGAGGGGTGCGGCATGTGGAGTGACGTCACCGGCTCACAATTATTAATGAGTGGAGGGGTGCGGCATGTAGAGTGACGTCACCGGCTCACGATTATTAATGAGTGGAGGGGTGCGGCATGTGGAGTGACGTCACGCGGGACACACGCACGCACATTATTGCCACATTATTGGCTCATTATAGTAGTAACGAGCTTGTTTGCCAGTCCAAGGACGGGTGTAGATTGGAGTAAATCTGAAAAACTCAGCAGAAAAGTTGATCAGCTCATGATTAGATTGGCAATGCCTTTGTATAGAATTGTGGTGAGTCTGCGGTGTGAGTCTGTGGTGGGAGTCTGTAGTGTGAGTCTGCGGTGTGAGTCTGTGGTGTGAGTCTGCAGTGTGAGTCTGTGGTGTGAGTCTGTGGCGAGTGTGTGGTGAGTCTGCGGTGTGAGTCTGCGGTGTGAGTCTGCGGGGTGAGTCTGTGGTGTGGGTCTGCGGTGCGAGTCTGTGGTGAGTCTGTGGTGAGTCTGCGGTGAAGTCTGTGGTGTGAGTCTGTTGTGTGAGTCTGTGGTTTGAGTCTGCGGTGTGAGTCTGTGGTGTGTGTCTGTGGTGTGAGTCTGCGGTGCGAGTCTGTGGTGAGAGTCTGCGGTGAGTCTGTGGTGAGTCTGCGGTGAGTCTGCGGTGCGAGTCTGCGGTGAGTCTGTGGTGAGTTTGCGGTGTGAGTCTGTGGTGTGAGTCTGGTGTGAGTCTGTGGTGAGTCTGTGGTGAGTCTGCGGTGAGCCTGTGGTGAGTCTGCGGTGAGTCTGCTGTGAGAGTGTGGTGAGTCTGTGGTGGGTCTGCAGTGAGTCTGCGGTGTGAGTCTGCGGTGTGAGTCTGCGGGGTGAGTCTGTGGTGTGGGTCTGCGGTGCGAGTCTGTGGTGAGTCTGTGGTGAGTCTGCGGTGAAGTCTGTGGTGTGAGTCTGTTGTGTGAGTCTGTGGTTTGAGTCTGCGGTGTGAGTCTGTGGTGTGTGTCTGTGGTGTGAGTCTGCGGTGCGAGTCTGTGGTGAGAGTCTGCGGTGAGTCTGTGGTGAGTCTGCGGTGAGTCTGCGGTGCGAGTCTGCGGTGAGTCTGTGGTGAGTTTGCGGTGTGAGTCTGTGGTGTGAGTCTGGTGTGAGTCTGTGGTGAGTCTGTGGTGAGTCTGCGGTGAGCCTGTGGTGAGTCTGCGGTGAGTCTGCTGTGAGAGTGTGGTGAGTCTGTGGTGGGTCTGCAGTGAGTCTGTGGTGTGAGTGTGTGGTGTGAGTCTGTGGTGAGTCTGTGGTGAGTCTGTGGTGAGTCTGCAGTGTGTCTGTGGTGTGAGTGTGTGGTGTGAGTCTGTGGTGAGTCTGTGGTGAGTCTGCAGTGAGTCTGTGGTGAGTCTGCGGTGAGTCTGTGGTGTGAGTCTGTGATGTGAGTCTGTGGTGAGTCTGTGGTGAGTCTGTGGTGTGAGTGTGTGGTGTGAGTCTGTGGTGAGTCTGTGGTGAGTCTGTGGTGAGTCTGCAGTGTGTCTGTGGTGTGAGTGTGTGGTGTGAATCTGCGGTGAGTCTGTGGTGAGTCTGCAGTGAGTCTGTGGTGAGTCTGCGGTGAGTCTGTGGTGTGAGTCTGTGATGTGAGTCTGTGGTGAGTTTGTGGTGAGTCTGTGGTGTGAGTGTGTGGTGTGAGTCTGTGGTGAGTCTGTGGTGAGTCTGTGGTGAGTCTGCAGTGTGTCTGTGGTGTGAGTGTGTGGTGTGAGTCTGTGGTGAGTCTGTGGTGTGAGTGTGTGGTGTGAGTCTGCTGTGAGAGTCTGCGGTGTGTCTGTGGTAAGTCTGCGGTGAGTGTGTGGTGAGTCTGTGGTGTGAATCTGTGGTGAGTGTGTGGTGAGTCTGTGGTGAGTGTGTGGTGAGTCTGTGGTGAGTCTGTGGTGAGTGTGGTGTGAGTCTGTGGTGAGTCTGCGGTGAGTCTGCGGTGAGTCTATGGTGAGTGTGTGGTGAGTCTGTGGTGTGGGTGTGTGGTGAGTGTGTGGTGAGTGTGCAGTGAGTCTGCGGTGAGTCTGTGGTGCGAGTCTGTGGTGTGAGTGTGTGGTGAGTGTGCAGTGAGTCTGTGGTGCAAGTCTGTGGTGAGTGTGTGGTGAGTCTGCGGTGAGTCTGTGGTGAGTCTGTGGTGAGTGTGCGGTGTGAGTCTGTGGTGAGTCTGTGGTGAGTCTGTGGTGAGTGTGCGGTGTGAGTCTGTGGTGAGTCTGCGGCGAGTCTGTGGTGAGTCTGTGGTGAGTCTGTGGTGTGAGTCTGTGGTGTGAGTGTGTGGTGTGAGTCTGTGGTGAGTGTGTGGTGAGTCTGCGGTGAGTCTGTGGTGTGAGTGTGTGGTGAGTCTGTGGTGAGTCTGTGGTGTGAGTGTGTGGTGAGTGTGTGGTGAGTCTGTGGTGAGTCTGTGGTGAGTCTGTGGTGCGAGTCTGTGGTGCGAGTGTGCGGTGTGAGTCTGCGGTGAGTCTGCAGTGAGTGTGGTGAGTGTGTGGTGTGTGTGCGGTGAGTGTGTGGTGCAAGTCTGCCACCTTGGTGGTGGCCGACCTCACGAGGTCGACTCGCACGTGAGCCTTGCGCAGCTCGTGGTGACTACCGGAGCCGTTGGTGAAGATCTCCACCCCGTCCAGACCCATAGCCACGTGCGGGCTGCAACACGCACACAGGACCACCACCAAGAACTCCCACCACCACCACCACAACCACCACCACCACAACTCCCACCACCACCACCACAACTCCCACCACCACCACCACCACAACCACCACCACCACAACTCCCACCACCACCACCACAACCACCACCACCACCACCACAACCCCCACCACCACCACAACCACCACCACAACCACCACCACCACCACAACTCCCACCGATATCACCAAAACTCCCACCACAACCACAATTCCCACCACCACCACAACTCCCACCGGTATCACCACCACAACTCCCATCACCACCAACAGCGCTACCACCACCACCCTCACCACCACCAATACCACTACCACCACCACAACTCCCACCACTACCACAACCACCGATATCACCACCACAACTTCCACCACAACCACAACTCCCACCACCACCACAACTCCCACCGATATCACCACCACAACTTCCACCACAACCACAACTCCCACCACCACCACAACTCCCACCACCACCACCAACAGCGCTACCACCACCACCCTCACCACCACCAATACCACTACCACCACCACAACTCCCACCACCACCACAACCACCGATATCACCACCACAACTCCCACCACAACCACAACTCCCACCACCACCACAACTCCCACCGATATCACCACCACAACTCCCACCACAACCACAACTCCCACCACCACAACTCCCACCGGTATCACCACCACAACTCCCACCACCACCAACAGCGCTACCACCACCACCCTCACCACCACCAATACCACTACCACCAACACAACTCCCACCACCACCACAACCACCGATATCACCACCACAACTCCCACCACAACTCCCACCACCACCACAACTCCCACCACCACCACAACTCCCACCGATATCACCACCACAACTCCCACCACAACCACAACTCCCACCACCACCACAACTCCCACCGGTATCACCACCACAACTCCCACCACCACCAACAGCGCTACCACCACCGCCGCCACCACCACCAATACCACTACCACCACTACAACGACCACCACAACTACCGACATCACCACCACCACCACTGATAACGCGCCCCTCCCCCCCCCTTTGTTTTGCTACCTTTGGGGGGCCCAGAGCTCCTCACAGCTCTCGCTCCCAATGCAGGTGTCCAGCGTGGCGAGCACGGCGTCACCCAGCGGCACCGTCACCTGGCGCGGTGAAACCCCAAAGCCACCGAGAACGATCGTCACCGGTGGGCTGAGCCTCCAGAATCTCACTCAAGAGGCTCACGCTAGGTTTAGTCGCAGCAGGCGGAGGGGGGGGCATGTCGCTGCTGCTGCTGTTACTGCAGCCACTGCGTGATCCAGATCGGGTGGTTCTGCAGTTGATTTGTCAGCATTGTTGGGGGATGTGGTTTTGGCCGATAGCAAGTTGCGCTGTGCGTGTTTGGTGTGTATGGTGTGTAGTGTGTGTGTGTCTGTTTGGTGTGTGTGGTGTGTAGTGTGTGTGGTGTGTGTGTGGTGTGTGTGTGTGGTGTGTGTGTGTGGTGTGTGTGTTTGGTGTGTGTGGTGTGTGTATGATGTGTAGTGTGTGTGTGGTGTGTGGTGTGTGTGTGGTGTGTGGTGTGTGTGTAAATTGCTAGTGTCACCGTGAGTGTCACCGCTAGTGTCACCACTAGCGTCACCGCTAGCGTCACCGTGAGTGTCACCGCTAGCGTCACCGTGAGTGTCACCGTGAGTGTCACCGTGAGTGTCACCGCAAGTGTCACCGTTAGTGTCACCGCGAGTGTCACCGTGAGTGTCACCGTGAGTGTCACCGCTAGTGTCACCGTGAGTGTCACCGTGAGTGTCACCATGAGTGTCACCGTGAGTGTCACCGCTAGTGTCACTGTGAGTGTCACCGTGAGTGTCACCGTGAGTGTCACCGCTAGTGTCACTGTGAGTGTCACCGTGAGTGTCACGCTAGTGTCACCGCTAGTGTCACTGTGAGTGTCACCGCTAGTGTCACCGCTAGTGTCACTGAGTGTCGCCGCTAGTGTCACCGTGAGTGTGACCGTGAGTGTCACCGCTAGTGTCACCGTGAGTGTCACCGCTAGTGTCACCGTGAGTGTCACCGCTAGTGTCACCGTGAGTGTTACCGTGAGTGTCACCGTGAGTGTCACCGCTAGTGTCACTGTGAGTGTCACCGCTAGCATCACCGTGAGTGTCACCGTGAGTGTCACCGCTAGTGTCACCGTGAGTGTCACCGTGAGTGTCACCGTGAGTGTCACCGCTAGTGTCACTGTGAGTGTCACCGCTAGCATCACCGTGAGTGTCACCGTGAGTGTCGCCGCTAGTGTCACCGTGAGTGTCACCGCTAGTGTCACTGTGAGTGTCACCGTGAGTGTCACCGTGAGTGTCACCGCTAGTGTCACCGCGAGTGTCACCGTGAGTGTCACCGCTAGTGTCACCGCTAGTGTCACTGTGAGTGTCGCCGCTAGTGTCACCGTGAGTTTCACCGTGAGTGTCACCGCTAGTGTCACCGTGAGTGTCACCGCTAGTGTCACCGTAAGTGTCACCGCTAGTGTCACCGTGAGTGTCACCGTGAGTGTCACCGTGAGTGTCACCGCTAGTGTCACTGTGAGTGTCACCGCTAGTATCACCGTGAGTGTCACCGTGAGTGTCGCCGCTAGTGTCACCGTGAGTGTCACCGCTAGTGTCACTGTGAGTGTCACCGCTAGTGTCACCGCTAGTGTCACCGCTAGTGTCACCGTGAGTGTCACCGCTAGTGTCACTGTGAGTGTCACCGCTAGCATCACCGTGAGTGTCACCGTGAGTGTCGCCGCTAGTGTCACCGTGAGTGTCACCGCTAGTGTCACCGCTAGTGTCACTGTGAGTGTCACCGCTAGTGTCACCGCTAGTGTCACCGTGAGTGTCACCGTGAGTGTCACCGCTAGTGTCACTGTGTCACCGTGAGTGTCACCGCTAGTGTCACCGTGAGTGTCACCGCTAGTGTCACCGTGAGTGTCACCGTGAGTGTCACCGTGAGTGTCACTGTGAGTGTCACCGCTAGTGTCACTGTGAGTGTCACCGCTAGTGTCACCGCTAGTGTCACTGTGAGTGTCACCGCTAGTGTCACCGCTAGTGTCACCGCTAGTGTCACCGTGAGTGTCATCGTGAGTGTCACCGCTAGTGTTACTGTGTCACCGTGAGTGTCACCGCTAGTGTCACCGTGTCACCGCTAGTGTCACCGTGAGTGTCACCGTGAGTGTCACCGTGAGTGTCACTGTGAGTGTCACCGCTAGTGTCACTGTGAGTGTCACCGTGAGTGTCACCGTGAGTGTCACTGTGTCACCGCTAGTGTCACCGCTAGTGTCACCGCTAGTGTCACAGTGAGTGTCACCGCTAGTGTCACAGTGAGTGTCACCGCTAGTGTCATCGTGAGTGTCACCGCTAGTGTCACCGCTAGTGTCACAGTGAGTGTCACAGTGAGTGTCACCGCTAGTGTCACCATGAGTGTCACCGTGAGTGTCACCGCTAGTGTCACTGTGTCACCGTGAGTGTCACCGCTAGTGTCACCGTGAGTGTCACCGCTAGTGTCACCGTGAGTGTCACTGTGAGTGTCACCGTGAGTGTCACTGTGAGTGTCACCGCTAGTGTCACCGTGAGTGTCACCGCTAGTGTCACAATGAGTGTCACCGTGAGTATCACTGTGAGTGTCATCGTGAGTGTCACCGTGAGTATCACTGCGAGTGTCACCGCTAGTGTCACCGTGAGTGTCACCGCTAGTGTCACAGTGTCACCGTGAGTATCACTGTGAGTGTCACCGCAAGTGTCACCGTGAGTGTCACCGCTAGTGTCACCGTGAGTGTCACCGTGAGTGTCACTGCTAGTGTCACCGTTAGTGTCACCGTGTCACCGCTAGCGTCACCGTGAGTGTCACCGTGTCACTGTGAGTGTCACCGCTAGTGTCACCGCTAGTGTCACCGCTAGTGTCACCGTGAGTGTCACGTTGAGTGTCACCGTGAGTGTCACCGCTAGTGTCACCGCTAGTGTCACCGCTAGTGTCACCGTGAGTGTCACCGTGAGTGTCACCGCTAGTGTCACTGTGTCACCGTGAGTGTCACCGCTAGTGTCACCGTGAGTGTCACCGCTAGTGTCACCGTGAGTGTCACTGTGAGTGTCACCGTGAGTGTCACTGTGAGTGTCACCGCTAGTGTCACCGTGAGTGTCACCGCTAGTGTCACAGTGAGTGTCACCGTGAGTATCACTGTGAGTGTCATCGTGAGTGTCACCGTGAGTATCACTGCGAGTGTCACCGCTAGTGTCACCGCTAGTGTCACCGTGAGTGTCACCGTGAGTGTCACCGCTAGTGTCACTGTGTCACCGTGAGTGTCACCGCTAGTGTCACCGTGAGTGTCACCGCTAGTGTCACCGTGAGTGTCACTGTGAGTGTCACCGTGAGTGTCACTGTGAGTGTCACCGCTAGTGTCACCGTGAGTGTCACCGCTAGTGTCACAGTGAGTGTCACCGTGAGTATCACTGTGAGTGTCATCGTGAGTGTCACCGTGAGTATCACTGTGTCACCGCTAGTGTCACCGTGAGTGTCACCGCTAGTGTCACAGTGAGTGTCACCGTGAGTATCACTGTGAGTGTCACCGCAAGTGTCACCGTGAGTGTCACCGCTAGTATCACCGTGAGTGTCACCGTGAGTGTCACTGCTAGTGTCACCGTTAGTGTCACCGTGTCACCGCTAGCGTCACCGTGAGTGTCACCGTGTCACTGTGAGTGTCACTGTGAGTGTCACCGTGAGTGTCACCGTGAGTGTCACCGTTGAGTGTCACTGAGTACCACTGCTAGCGTCACCGTGTCACCGTGTCACTGTGAGTGTCACTGTGTCACTGTGAGTGTCACTGTGATTGTCAACATGAGTGTCACTGTGTCACTGCTAGCGTCACCATAAGTGTCACTGTGTTACCACTAGTGTCACGTCTAGTGACACACAAACACGACAGCAGCACTAAAGTACCTGCTCAGTGATCTCCTGGATGATGCGTGGCAGATAATGATCCTCTACCTCCCTGTGTGAACCACAGCAGTGCACACCACAGCGTTACTAACCACTCACACCACAGTGTTACTAACCACTCACACCACAGCGTTACTAACCACTCACACCACAGCGTTACTAACCACTCACACCACAGTGTTACTAACCACTCACAGCACAGTGTCACTAACCACTGACACCACAGTGTTACTAACCACTCACACCACAGTGTTACTAACCACTCACACCACAGTGTTACTAAACACTTACACTACAGCGTTACTAACCACTCACACCACAGTGTTACTAAACACTTACACTACAGCGTTACTAACCACACACCACAGCGTTACTAACCACTCACACCACAGCGTTACTAACCACTCACACCACAGTGTTACTAACCACTCACACCACAGTGTCACTAACCACTCACACCACAGTGTTACTAACCACTCACACCAGTGTTACTAACCACTCACACCACAGTGTTACTAACCACTCACACCACAGTGTTACTAACCACTTACACCACAGTGTTACTAACCACTCACACCACAGTGTTACTAACCACTCACACCACAGTGTTACTAACCACTCACACCACAGTGTTACTAACCACTAACACCACAGCGTTACTAAACACTTACACTACAGCGTTACTAACCACACACCACAGCGTTACTAACCACTCACACCACAGCGTTACTAACCACTCACAGCACAGTGTTACTAACCACTCACACCACAGTGTCACTAACCACTCACACCACAGTGTTACTAACCACTCACAGCACAGTGTTACTAACCACTCACACCACAGCGTTACTAACCACACACCACAGCGTTACTAACCACTCACACCACAGCGTTACTAACCACTCACAGCACAGTGTTACTAACTACTCACACCACAGTGTCACTAACCACTCACACCACAGTGTTACTAACCACTCACACCACAGTGTTACTAACCACTCACACAACAGTGTTAATAACCACTCACATCAATCCCTCACACAACATCATCACCATCGTTGCTGATGACGACGGTGATGGTGATGTTGCTGACGGTGATGATGGTAATGATGATGGTGACGAGGACAATGTTGTGAGTCGGCATGGCTCACCGCTCGCGAGCCCACGGAGTGAACCAGCGCAGCTCGCGGTAATTGCCGTGGTTGCACAGCACCATCTTGGGTCGGATCAGCAGAATCTTCCTGCGTGGCGGTGAGAGGCAGAGTCAGGCACGGGCAGCTCCGTTGCAACCCGAGTTCAACTCCAGCTCAAGATTAATTAATTCATCAGACAGTCATCAAAGCACGCGAACTGCTGAACTACCTTCCCCACACACACACACGGACTCACACGCCCACACACGGACTCACACCCGCACACACGCGGACTCACACACGCGGACTCACACACGCACACACGCGGACTCATGCACACACGCGGACTCACACACGCATCCACACGGACTCACACACACACACGCGGACTCACACACACGGACTCACACAGACTCACACACGCACCCACACGGACTCACAAACGCACACACGCGGACTCACACACACGGACTCACACAGACTCACACACGGACTCACACGCCCATACACGGACTCAAACCCGCACACCCGCACACACGCGGACTCACACACGCACCAAAAAGACAAAGATCCCCCGTATAGCCTAAACAGACTGTTAGGGCAAGAGCTGTTCGCGAGCACCTATGAAGAGCAACGCGGCACACGAGGGGGTGGGTGGCCAGCACCACGCCCGGCCGCCTTTGTCTCCCACGTGGCGATGTTTACACACCACACCAGGTACTCATTTGAGGCTGAGTCGACCTAAGGGAGGCCCAGGACCAGTTCAGATAATCGTCACTGGTGTTGGCCGTGAGCGGGAATTGAACTCGGGACTCCGGGTTTGTAACGCAGCGTAGCGCTAACCACTACACGACCACAAACTCACTCACACACACACGGACTCACACAGGGACTCACACACGGACTCACACATGCACACACACGGACTCATACAGGGACTCACACACGCACACACACGAACTCACACACAGACTACACACGCCCACACAGGGACTCACACAAGGACTCATACACAGACTCACACATGCACACACACGGACTCACACACGGACTCACACATGCACACACACGGATTCACACATGCACACACACGGACCCACACATGCACACACACGGACTCACACATGCACACGCGTGGCCTCACCGGTTAAGGAAGATGACGCGGCAGTTGTAGCGCACGTTCTTGTGCATCACCGGCCTGGTAATGTGGATAAGGCAGAAACTCACCACACAGCTCCCTACAGCATGACTCTGCGGGTACACAACTCGCGTGCGTGTATGTACGTGCGTGTACGTGCGTGTGTGTACGTGCACATGGGTGCGTGCGTGTGTGTGCGCGTGCGTGCGTGAGCGTGCGTGCGTCCCGTCACGCTCCCAGTCTACCACAACGCGACGTCGGAGGTGAACCCAACAATCCATCAAGAATCCACTTCCTTTTGCCGAGGACGTTCCCGGGGAAAATACGACAGTCCCTCGGTTTACGATGCCATTGATTAACGATATTTCAATGAACGATCTGCCTACCCGTAGGGTCCTCTCCCGATCGTGTTTATTAAAAGATACATGTTTCGAATAAATTCTGTTTTACGATATCACACGGAGCCGCAAATTTCGGCCAATCGGAGCGCTCCCTTCAGTGGAGATTCAGCAGCCCTCGCGCCCCTTTCATGTTCGTTTTGAGAGCGACTGGCTGCAAAGCTTGTCAATATTTTATGTTGATGTCTCCCGAATACTTCGCATTTGTTTTACTTAACATCGCCTTGCCAGGCACGCTGAGGAGAGGCTTGCGGAGCCCTAATGCGGTTTCAGGAGAGGGCGGTCCTGCACATATGTCATAGTTTCTGTCTGTCTGCTACAGCAGAGGTGTAGGGAATTCCAAAAGGACCTACACCTCTGTTTCATTGATCTGGTCAAGGCCTATGATAGCATCAGTCGGCTGAGCTATGGGTTGTTCTTGGTGCTTTCGGAGTCCCTGACTCTGCTCACAATCATTAAGGACCTTCATAATGATGGCAGGCCCGGGTAAAACTACGTGGCCAGGTGTCGGAGCCATTTCCTGTTAACCTTGGGGTGCGACAGGGATGTCCTCTGGCTCCCACATTATTTAACATCGATTTCAACCACGTAGTTGGTGAAACCTTTGATGGGTGTACCAGTGGAATTTAGATCTGGTACAGATACATTGGGAGGCTGATCGATGCCTGGGTGCGGTTAAGGGATGGCTCCCTATTGGTCAACCATGTTATGTACGCCTATGATCTGGTAATTGCTAACTAAGAGGAGGAGTTGGAGGCGCTGCTGCTGATCCTGGAGCTTGCCACTAAGAAATGGGGCCTTACCATCAGCCCTGCCAAACCTAAGCACCTGCCTGGGTATTTTGTGCCATGAAACACTCCACCCCCTCAGCTCCCAATTGGTGATGGGGCAGTATTGGAGAGAGTGGAGCGTTTTCCATTACTGGGCAGTGTGCTCATGTTTGGCTCCGGTTTAACAGCAGAGGTCTTACTCTGAATCAGCTGAGCGGCATTATCTTTTAATCGGCTGCATAACGCTGTGTGGAAGCTACCTGGCCTGTTGCTCCACACAAAGCTTCAGGTTTTCTCGGCCAGTCATTCCGTTCCTTCTCTATGCTTGTGAAACGTGGACTCCCCTAATGGAACATTTTCACCGATTATAAACATTTAGAGGCTGCCTGGCCTGCCTATGATCCATCCTGGGTTTAACCAGGTTGGATTGTGCGAGTAGCTCACAAAACCTTGAAAGATCTGGACATCTGGGTCATGTAGCCTGCATGCCTGGCCACCGCATGCCTCAACAACTTTTGTTCGGCTGGATAGAGGGGGCTAAACAGGCGCGACATGGGCTAGAGAAGACATGGAGCGATGTGGTACAGCAGAATGTTGAGCTGAGTGTACTTGCCGATGACTGGTACCAGCGGTGTCAAAATCGGCCTCTGTGGAGGAGGCTCGTGAAGGACGCTACTGGGCAATTTGAGGCAGTCGCCATCCAGCAACAATGGAGGGCAGAGGAGCGACGCTCACAACAACGAGCGAAGCGCCGGGTGGCTAAAGCACAGCAGGTTGGCACAGTAGGGGGCACAGGTGGCGCATCAGCCAGTCATCTCAGTCAGCAATCCATGGCACCTGGGTCTGTCCCGTGACCTCCTGCCAGCGGGCGTTCGACACTTCACGTGACCTTAATGTGCACAAAGCCTGGCACAAGCGCCGTGGTGACGTCACCGCCACTTAGTGGCGAATGGCGGTTGTTGTTGTTGTTGTGTGTGTGTGTGTCAGGGTCGCGTGTGTATGGGTTGTGCTAGAGAAGAGATGGAGTGATGTGGTACAGAAGGACGTGGAGCTGAGTGGACTTGCCGATGACTGGTACCAGCGGTGTCAAGATCGGCCTCTGTGGAGGAGGATCGTGAAGGACGCTACTGGGCAGTTGGAGGCAGTCGCCCTCCAACAACAACGGAGGGCGGAGGAACGACGCTCACAACAGCAAGCGGAGCGCCGGGTGGCTAATGCACAGCAGGTTGGCACAATAGGGGGCACAGGTGGTGCATCAGCAGGTCATCTCAGTCAGTCGACCCGTGGCACCTGGGTCTGCCCCGTGACCTCCTGCCAGCGGGCGTTCGACACTTCACGTGGCCTCAGGGTGCACATAGCCTGGCACAAGCGTCGTGGTGACGTCACCGCCACTCAGTGGTAATGGCGGTTGTTGTTGTGTGTGTGTGTGTATGGGTTGTGTGTGTGTGTCAGGGTCGCGTGTGTGTGTGTATGGGTTGTGTGTGTGTATATGTGTTGCGTGTGTGTGTATGGGTTGTGTGTGTGTCAGGGTCGCGTGTGTGTGTGTGTATGTGTTGTGTGTGTATGTGTTGTGTGTGTGTGTATGGGTTGTGTGTGTGTGTGTGTGTGGGTTGTGTGTGTGTGTGTAAGTGTTGTGTGTATGTGTTGTGTGTGTGTATGGGTTGTGTGTGTGTGTGTATGGGTTGTGTGTGTGTGTATGGGTTGTGTGTGTGTGTGTATGGGTTGTGTGTGTGTATGGGTTGTGTGTGTGTATGGGTTGTGTGTGTATGTGTTGTGTGTGTGTGTATGTGTGTGTGTCCGCACTCGCGGCCTCACATGCCCACGTCACAGATGATGTCGCTCGTGGCCGGCGCCACCAGCAGCTGCCCCAAGGCCTCCCACGAGTGCAGTAGTGTGTCGCCCTCCAGAAAGTGATCCGCACAGCCGTAGCCACTACAGACAACACACGCAGCCGTAGTCACTACAGACAACACACACAGCCATAGTCACTACAGACAACACTCACAGCAGTAGTAACTACAGACAACACACACAGCCGTAGTCACTACAGATAACACACACAGCCGTAGTCACTACAGACAACACACACAGCCGTAGTCACTACAGACAACACGCACAGCCGTGGTCACTACAGACAACACACACAGCCGTAGCCACTACAGACAACACACACAGCCGTAGTCACTTCAGACAACACACGCAGCCGTAGTCACTACAGATAACACACACAGCCGTAGTCGCTACAGATAACACACACAGCCAGTCACTACAGACAACACACACAGCTCTGGTCACTACAGGCAACACACACAGCCGTAGTCACTACAGACAACACACACAGCCGTAGTCACTACAGACAACACACACAGCCGTAGTCACTACAGATAACACACACAGCCATAGTCACTACAAACAACACACACAGCCGTAGTCACTACAGACAACACACACAGCCGTAGTCACTACAGACAACACGCACAGCCGTGGTCACTACAGACAACACACACAGCCATAGTCACTACAGACAACACACACAGCCGTGGTCACTACAGACAACACACACAGCCATAGTCACTACAGACAACACGCACAGCCGTGGTCACTACAGACAACACACACAGCCGTAGTCACTACAGACAACACAAACAGCCGTAGTCACTATAGACAACACACACAGCCGTAGTCACTACAGACAACACACACAGCCGTAGCCACTACAGACAACACACACAGCCGTAGTCACTACAGACAACACACACAGCCATAGTCACTACAGACAACACACACAGCCGTGGTCACTACAGACAACACACAGCTGTGGTCACTACAGGCAACACACACAGCCATAGTCACTACAGACAACACACACAGCCGTGGGCACTACAGACAACACACACAGCCATAGTCACTATAGACAATACACACAGCCGTAGTCGCTACAGACAACACACAAAGCCGTAGTCACTACAGACAACACACACAGCCGTAGTCACTACAGACAACACACACAGCCGTAGTCACTACAGATAACACACACAGCCGTAGTCACTACAGATAACACACAGCTGTGGTCACTACAGGCAACACACACAGCCATAGTCACTATAGACAACACACACAGCCGTGGTCACTACAGACAACACATAGCTGTGGTCACTACAGGCAACACACACAGCCGTAGTCACTACAGACAACACACACAGCCGTAGTCACTACAGATAACACACACAGCCGTAGTCACTACAGATAACACACAGCAGGTGTCAGGGTCGGGATCGAACCACACACACAGCCGTAGTCACTACAGTCACTACAGTCAACACAGGGCTGCAGTGAGAACCCATGGGTTGATTTCCCGATTCGGGTGCCTTCTCTACCGTGAGTCTGTATGATCTCCCCCCTTCTCTGTGTGGGGTTCCCTCCGGCTTCTCCGGTTTCCTCCTCCCCGTAGCTAAACCAACACTCACAGTGCAACTGCTATCGGCCAAAACCACATTCCCAACAACGCTGAGGAATACCCTGCCCAGTTAAATCCATCAGGATCACGAAACAGCAGTAGCAGCAGCAACATCGCTTCCCCAACCGACTGCGTAAAACTTTGCAGGACCCTCCTCAAAATGAGTCTTGAGACTCAGCGAGGCTTTGGGGTGCCGCGGTTGCCAGGAGATGGTAACTACCTCGCCTCGTATGTGGAGGACGTCGTGGTTCGATCCCGACCCTGACACCTGCTGTAAAATTTGGAGTTTGCGTGTTTCTCTCTCTCTCCCCGTGGTTCGTGTGGACTTTTTTTCAGGTCCACCGGTTTTCCCCTCCACATTCAGAATCAACGTCAGGCATTCCAAGTATGTGGCCGATATAAATTGCCACGTGATAAGCCACTTTTTGTTGGGCTATCATTTGCGATAGCCAGGCCACTTCTGATAAGCAGCTACACAGCTCATTGAGCCTTACCTCGTAAGGAAAAAAAAAATTGTTGCATTTATAGTTTAGCTTAACTGGGTTAAAGCAGGGGAATCATGCGGATAATTACCAAATTTCCAACTCTGATCCCAGACGATAGCGAGCTCCCTTGGCCTTGGCAGCCTCAATGCCTGACAGCACACAGACAGACACACAGATATAGAGCACAACACAAATATCCCCCGTATAGCCTGTAACAGACTGTTGGGGCAAGTGCTGTTAGCGAGTAGCGCCGATGACGGCCGACACTGCACACGAGGGGGTGCGTGGCTAGCACCATGCCCGGCTGCCTTTGCATCCCCAGTGGCGATGTTTACACTCCACACCAGGTACTAATTTTAGGCTGAGTCGACCTAGGGAGAGGCCCAGGAACAGTTCAGATAATCATCACTGGTTTTGGTGGCCATGAACCGGAAATCAAACTCAGGTATCCAGGTGTCGGTAGCGCAGCGCACAAACCACTGCACTATCGATCCCCATCACAAAAAAACAAAGGCAAAGATCCATACTCTTTGGTTCTTTCGGTAAAGTCACATAGGTTGAAAATAAAATAAATCACGACGTTTCGGGTGCAACACAAGCGTCCAAAATCAGGTGGGAAAGAGCAGCAGACCATGCATGGTCTGCTGCTCTGTGGCATCTACATCTACAGAACGTGAAGAACCAGTGGAATATACATCTACAGAACGTGAAGAACCAGTGGCATCTACATCTACAGAACGTGAAGAACCAGTGGCATCTACAGAACGTGAAGAACCAGTGGCATCTACATCTACAGAACGTGAAGAACCAGTGGCATCTACATCTACAGAACGTGAAGAACCAGTGGCATCTACATCTACAGAACGTGAAGAACCAGTGGCATCTACATCTACAGAACGTGAAGAACTAGTGGCATCTACATATGCAGAACGTAAAGAACCAGAGGCATCTACATCTGTATAACGTGACGAACCAGTGGCATCTACATCTGCAGAACGTGAAGAACCAGTGGCATCTACATCTCCTTAACGTGAAGAACCAGTGGCATCTACATATGCAGAACGTGAAGAACCAGTGGCATCTACATCTGCAGAACGTGAAGAACCAGTGGCATCTACATCTACAGAACGTGAAGAACCAGTGGCATCTACATCTGCAGAACGTGAAGAACCAGTGGCATCTACATCTACAGAACGTGAAGAACCAGTGGCATCTACGTTGACATAACGTGAAGAACCAGTGGCATCTACGCTGACAGAACGTGAAGAACCAGCGGCATCTACATCTACAGAACGTGAAGAACCAGTGGCATCTACATCTACAGAACGTGAAGAACCAGTGGCATCTACGTTGACAAAACGTGAAGAACCAGTGGCATCTGCATCAACAAAACGTGAAGAACCAGTGGCCTCTACATCTACAGAACATGAAGAACTAGTGGCATCTACATCTACAGAACGTGAAGAACCAGTGGCATCTACATCTACAGAACGTGAAAACCTGTGGCATCTACATCTGCAGAACATGAAGAACCTGTGGCATCTACATCTACAGAACGTGAAGAACCAGTGGCATCTACATCTACAGAACGTGAAGAACCAGTGGCATCTACATCTACAGAACGTGAAGAACCAGTGGCATCTACATCTACAGAACGTGAAGAACCAGTGGAATCTACGTTGACAGAACATGAAGAACCAGTGGCATCTGCATCGACAAAACGTGAAGAACCAGTGGCCTCTACATCTACAGAACATGAAGAACTAGTGGCATCTACATCTACAGAACGTGAAGAACCAGTGGCATCTCCATCTACAGAATGTGAAGAACCAGTGGCATCTACATCTACAGAACGTGAAGAACCTGTGGCATTTACATCTACAGAACGTGAAGAACCAGTGGCATCTACATCTACAGAACATGAAGAACCAGTGGCAACTACATCTACAGAACGTGAAGAACCAGTGGCATCTACATCTACAGAACGTAAAGAACCAGTGGCATCTACAGAACGTGAAGAACCAGTGGCATCTACGTTGACAGAACGTGAAGAACCAGTGGCATCTACATCTACAGAACGTGAAGAACCAGTGGCATCTACGTTGACAGAACGTGAAGAACCAGTGGCATCTACATCTACAGAACGTGAAGAACCAGTGGCATCTACATCTACAGAACATGAAGAACCAGTGGCATCTACATCTACAGAACATGAAGAACCAGTGGCATCTACACCTACAGTAGATTGTACGGCTTTTGAAGTATTTAGTGTAGATGCCGTACAACACGTTTGGAATCGACAGGAGTAAAGTTGAACTTGCGTACAAATCGACTTGCGAACAAACCTCCGGAACCTATCTCGTTGGTAAGTAGAGGAGTCCCTGTACTAACCACAACCACCGCATGGACGGGCAGCAGCATCATCAGTCGGCATCTCCTGGCGTGCCACTCTCCACCAGCCCTAGCACGTTGTAGCCACACTCAAGTGTCTCACTAACGTGTTTCAAATAGCTGTTGTTTTACTTAATTTTTTCATTTTCTTTCCTTAAATAGGCTGTCACCATCTCTAATAAACGGATGGAAGTATTGTAAATGTGTTATTGTAACCGTTGAAATGTGCAGACGTAAGATTGCGTGCTTCCTATAACCACATTTCCTTGATTGCGTCTAATTTGCGCGATTTAGGTTCACTAAAACTAATTTTTATTTGACCAGGTAAGGCCTCACTGAGCTGTGTAGCTCTTTGTCAAAAGCGATCCTGGCTATATCACAAATGACAGCTCAACAAAGTGGCTCATCATTAATCTTGATTTGAAGCTTTCGTAGGTAGAAATAAATAACTTCTACCGAAAGAACCAATGAGAAAAAAGTGGCTCATCGTCAACACGTCGACATTTATAGCAGCAACCAAATTCTCTAAGCTCGCGACGTTGATTTGAAACACGGAGCCGAGGGCCCGGAGAAAAATCCACGCGACCATGGGTTAGAGAGAGACACGAAAACTCCAAATCTACAGCAGCAGCAGGCGTCTGAGTCGTGGTTGAACCCACGACCTCCTGTACACCAGGCGAAGTAGTCAACATCTCAGCCACTGTGATGATGAGAGGAGCAAACTCCAAATCTACAGCAGCAGGCATCGTCAGGGGTTGGGATTGAATCCACGACCTCCTGTATACCAGGCGAGGTTGTCAACATCTCAGCCACTGTGATGTTGAGAGGAGCAAACTCCAAATCTACAGCAGCAGCAGGCGTCTGAGTCGTGGTCGAACCCACGACCTCCTGTACACCAGGCGAAGTAGTCAACATCTCAGCCACTGTGATGATGAGAGGAGCAAACTCCAAATCTACAGCAGCAGCAGGCAGCAGGCATCGTCAGGGGTTGGGATTGAATCCACGACCTCCTGTATACCAGGCGAGGTAGTCAACATCTCAGCCACTATGATGTCGAGAGGAGCAAACTCCAAATCTACAGCAGCAGCAGGCATCGTCAGGGGTTGGGATTGAACCCACGACCTCCTGTACACCAGGCGAGGTAGTCAACATCTCAGCCACTGTGGCGTTAACCGGAGAGATTGGTGAGGAGTCGTAAGAAGTGGTGAGGAGTGATTGGTGATGAGGGAGCGATAATTAGTCATTGGTGAGGAGTGGTGAGGAGGGCGTGGTGAGAAGGGCGTAGTGAAGAGTGATTGGTGAGGGAGTGGTAAAGAGATTGGTGAGGAGTGGTGATGAGTGGTGAGGAGTAATTGGTGATGAGTGGTGATGAGTGGTGAGGAGTGATTGGTGATGAGTGGTGAGTGGTGATGAGTGGTGAGGAGTAATTGGTGATGAGTGGTGAGGAGTCTCACTGGTGAGGAGTGGTGAGGAATCTCACTGGTGAGGAGTCTCACTGGTGATGAGGTAGCGGTGAGGAGTGAGTGGTGAGGAGTGGTGAGGAATCTCACTGGTGAGGAGACTCACTGGTGATGAGGTAGCGGTGAGGAGTGAGTGGTGAGGAGTGGTGAGGAGTCGTGAGGAGTCTCACTGGTGAGGAGTCTCACTGGTGAGGAGTCTCACTGGTGATGAGGTAGCGGTGAGGAGCGAGTGGTGAGGAGTGGTGAGGAATCTCACTGGTGAGGAGTGGTGAGGAGTCTCACTGGTGAGGAGTCTCACTGGTGATGAGGTAGCGGTGAGGAGCGAGTGGTGAGGAGTGGTGAGGAATCTCACTGGTGAGGAGTGGTGAGGAGTCTCACTGGTGAGGAGTCTCACTGGTGATGAGGTAGTGGTGAGGAGTGAGTGGTGAGGAGTGGTGAGGAGTCTCACTGGTGAGGAGTCTCACTGGTGATGAGGTAGCGGTGAGGAGCGAGTGGTGAGGAGTGGTGAGGAATCTCACTGGTGAGGAGTGGTGAGGAGTCTCACTGGTGAGGAGTCTCACTGGTGATGAGGTAGCGGTGAGGAGTGAGTGGTGAGGAGTGGTGAGGAATCTTACTGGTGAGCACGCGCTCCGTGTTGCCCTGGAAGTCGAGCGCCCATTGCGAGAGCGCACAGCTCGCCAGCGTCACCTTGCGGCCCATGGCCCTCTCACTCACCACCAACTCACCACTCACTCACCACTCACCACCAACTCACCACCAACTCACCACCAACTCACCACTCACTCACCACTCACCACCAACTCACCACTCACTCACTCACCACCACTCACCACCAACTCACCACTCACTCACCACCAACTCACCACCAACTCACCACTCACTCACCACCAACTCACCACTCACTCACCACCAACTCACCACTCACTCACCACCAACTCACCACCAACTCACCACTCACCACCACCTCACCACTCACTCACCACCAACTCACCACCAACTCACCACCACTCACTCACCAACCAACTCACCACCAACTCACCACTCACTCACCACCAACTCACCACTCACTCACTCACCACCACCACTCACTCACTCACCACTCACTCACCACTCACTCACCACCAACTCACCACTCACTCACTCACCACCACTCACTCACCACTCACTCACCACCAACTCACCACTCACTCACTCACCACCAACTCACCACACACTCACCACCACTCACTCTCTCCCCTCACTCTACCGCCTTTCCCGTCTCGCCTCTCTCCTGCACAGAACCGCGTCGCTGTGTGATGACGTCCCCCACCCTCTAGCCCCACCCACCTACTCACCCCCACCCACCTACTCACCCCCACCCACCTACTCACCCCCACCCTCCTACTCACCCCCACCCTCCTACTCACCCCCACCCTCCTACTCACCCCCACCCTCCTACTCACCCCCACCCTCCTACTCACCCCCACCCTCCTCACCCCACCCTCCTACTCCGCCCACCCTCCTACTCACCCCCACCCTCCTACTCACCCCCACCCTCCTACTCACCCCCACCCTCCTACTCACCCCCACCCTCCTACTCACCCCCACCCTCCTACTCACGCCCACCCTCCAACTCACCCCCACCCTCCTACTCACCCCCACCCTCCTACTCACCCCCACCCTCCTACTCACCCCCACCCTCCTACTCACGCCCACCCTCCTACTCACCCCCACCCTCCTACTCACCCCCACCCTCCTACTCACCCCCACCCTCCTACTCACCCCCACCCTCCTACTCACCCCCACCCTCCTACTCACCCCCACCCTCCTACTCACCCCCACCCTCCTACTCAACCCCACCCTCCTACTCACCCCCACCCTCTACTCACCCCCACCCTCCTACTCACCCCCACCCTCCTACTCACCCCCACCCTCCTACTCACCCCCACCCTCCTTCTCACCCCCACCCTCCTACTCACCCCCACCCTCCTACTCACCCCCACCCTCCTACTCACCCCCACCCTCCTACTCACCCCCACCCACCTACTCACCCCCACCCTCCTACTCACCCCCACCCTCCTACTCACCCCCACCCTCCTACTCACCCCCACCCTCCTACTCACCCCCACCCTCCTACTCACCCCCACCCTCCTACTCACCCACACCCTCCTACTCACCCCCACCCTCCTACTCACCCCCACCCTCCTACTCACCCCTACCCCCCTACTCACCCCCACACTCCTACTCACCCCCACCCTCGAGCCCCACCCACCTACTCACCCCCACCCTCCTACTCACCCCTACCCTCCAACTCACCCCTACTCACCTACTCACCCCCACTCTCTGACCCCACCCACCTACTCACCCCCACCCTCCTGCTCACCCCCACCCTCCTCCACACCCCCACCCTCTAACCCCACCCTCCAACTCACCCCCACCCTCCTACTCACCCCCACCCACCTACTCACCCCACCCTCCTACTCACCCCCACCCACCTACTCACCCCCACCCTCCTACTCACCCCCACCCTCCTACTCACCCCCACCCTCCTACTCACCCCCACCCACCTACTCACCCCCACCCACCTACTCACCCCCACCCTCCTACTCACCCCCACCCTCCTACTCACCCCCACCCTCCTACTCACCCCAGGCCACCTACTCACCCCACCCTCCTACTCACCCCCACCCACCTACTCACCCCCACCCTCCTACTCACCCCCACCCTCCTACTCATCCCCACCCACCTACTCACCCCCACCCTCCAACTCACCCCTACCCTCCTACTCACCCCCACCCACCTACTCACCCCCACCCTCCTACTCCCCCCCACACTCCTCCTCACCCCCACCCTACCTACTCACCCCTACCCTCCAACTCACCCCTACCCACCTACTCACCCCCACCCTCTGACCCCACCCACTTACTCACCCCCACCCTCCTACTCACCCCCACCCACCTACTCACCCCTACCCTCCTACTCACCCCCACCCACCTACTCACCCCCACCCTCCTACTCACCCCTACCCACGTACTCACCCCAACCCACCTACTCAACCCCACCCACCTACTCACCCCCACCCTCCTACTCACCCCTACCCACCTACTCACCCCCACCCTCCTACTCACCCCTACCCTCCTACTCACCCGCACCCACCTACTCACGCCCACCCTCCTACTCACCCCCACCCTCCTACTCACCCCCACCCACCTACTCACCCCCACCCACCTACTCACCGCTACCGACATACTCACCCCCACCTACTCACCCCTACCCACCTACTCACCCCCACCCACCTACTCACCCCCACCCTCCTACTCACCCCTACCCTCCTACTCACCCCTACCCACCTACTCACCCCCAACCTCCTACTCACCCCCACCCTCCTACTCACCCCCACCCTCCTACTCACCCCCACCCTCCTACTCACCCCTACCCTCCTAGTCACCCCTACCCACCTACTCACCCCCACCCTCCTACTCACCCCCACCCACCTACTCACCCCCACCCTCCGACTCACCCCCACCCTCCTACTCACCCCTACCCTCCTACTCACCCGGACCCACCTACTCACCCCCACCCTCCTACTCACCCCTACCCACCTACTCACCCCCACCCTCCTATTCACCCCTACCCTCCTACTCACCCCCACCCACCTACTCAACCCCACCCACCTACTCACCCCCACCCTCTTACTCACCCCCACCCACCTACTCACCCCCACCCTCCTACTCACCCCCACCTTCCTCCTCACCCCCACCCTCTAACCCCACCCTCCTACTCACCCCCACCCACCTACTCACCCCCACCCACGTACTCACCCCAACCCACCTACTCAACCCTACCCACCTACTCACCCCCACCCTCCTAGTCACCCCTACCCTCCTACTCACCCCCACCTACTCACCCACACCCTCCTACTCACCCCTACCCACGTACTCACCCCAACCCACCTACTCAACCCCACCCACCTACTCACCCCCACCCTCCTACTCACCCCTACCCTCCTACTCACCCCCACCCTTCTACTCACCCCCACCCACCTACTCACCCGCACCCACCTACTCACCCCCACCCTCCTACTCACCCCCACCCTCCTACTCACCCCCACCCACCTACTCACCCCCACCCACCTACTCACCGCTACCGACATACTCACCCCTACCCTCCTACTCACGCCTACCCACCTACTCACCCCCCCCAACCTACTCACCCCCACCCTCCTACTCACCACTACCCTCCTACTCACCCCTACCCACCTACTCACCCCCAACTTCCTACTCACCCCTACCCACCTACGCACCCCCATCCACATACTGACCCCCACCCACCTACTCACCCCCACCCTCTAATCCCACCCTCCAACCCCACCCTCCTACTCACCCCCACCCACCTACTCACCCCCACCCTCCTACTCACCCCCACCCTCCTACTCACCCCCACCCTCCTACTCACCCCCACCCTCCTACTCACCCCTTGAAGAACCAGTGGCATCTACATCTACAGAACGTGAAGAACTAGTGGCATCTACATCTGCAGAACGTGAAGAACCAGTGGCATCTACATCTGCAGAACGTGAAGAACCAGTGGCATCTACATCTGCAGAACGTGAAGAACCAGTGGCATCTACATCTCCTTAACGTGAAGAACCAGTGGCATCTACATTTGCAGAACGTGAAGAACCAGTGGCATCTACATCTACAGAACGTGAAGAACCAGTGGCATCTACATCTACAGAACGTGAAGAACCAGTGGCATCTACATCTGCAGAACGTGAAGAACCAGTGGCATCTACATCTACAGAACGTGAAGAACCAGTGGCATCTACGTTGACATAACGTGAAGAACCAGTGGCATCTACGCTGACAGAACGTGAAGAACCAGCGGCATCTACATCTACAGAACGTGAAGAACCAGTGGCATCTACATCTACAGAACGTGAAGAACCAGTGGCATCTACGTTGACAAAACGTGAAGAACCAGTGGCATCTGCATCAACAAAACGTGAAGAACCAGTGGCATCTACATCTACAGAACATGAAGAACTAGTGGCATCTACATCTACAGAACGTGAAGAACCAGTGGCATCTACATCTACAGAACGTGAAAACCTGTGGCATCTACATCTGCAGAACATGAAGAACCTGTGGCATCTACATCTACAGAACGTGAAGAACCAGTGGCATCTACATCTACAGAACGTGAAGAACCAGTGGCATCTACATCTACAGAACGTGAAGAACCAGTGGCATCTACATCTACAGAACGTGAAGAACCAGTGGAATCTACGTTGACAGAACATGAAGAACCAGTGGCATCTGCATCGACAAAACGTGAAGAACCAGTGGCCTCTACATCTACAGAACATGAAGAACTAGTGGCATCTACATCTACAGAACGTGAAGAACCAGTGGCATCTCCATCTACAGAATGTGAAGAACCAGTGGCATCTACATCTACAGAACGTGAAGAACCTGTGGCATTTACATCTACAGAACGTGAAGAACCAGTGGCATCTACATCTACAGAACATGAAGAACCAGTGGCAACTACATCTACAGAACGTGAAGAACCAGTGGCATCTACATCTACAGAACGTAAAGAACCAGTGGCATCTACAGAACGTGAAGAACCAGTGGCATCTACGTTGACAGAACGTGAAGAACCAGTGGCATCTACATCTACAGAACGTGAAGAACCAGTGGCATCTACGTTGACAGAACGTGAAGAACCAGTGGCATCTACATCTACAGAACGTGAAGAACCAGTGGCATCTACATCTACAGAACATGAAGAACCAGTGGCATCTACATCTACAGAACATGAAGAACCAGTGGCATCTA